TTTGAACCTATGCTAAGAATGTTAAGTTAATTTCAATAAAAAGTAATGCGTCTATTATCAATGATGCAACTACGTAAACATCATTTTATCGGTTCTAACTTTTTCGTAGATGAGGTGTATGAGTTAATAGACATCATATTTCTATAAGTCATAATAGTCAAATGTGTTCAAATAGTTTATACCTACAAAATTGAGTAATAGCGGCTCAAATCTATCATTAGTTTACGGTTCTATTAAAGGAGATTATGTTAGGTCTGTATTTACATGGAAATCCAGGAGAACTTTGTACAAAGTTTAAGATTTACTTTTTGCAATTAAATCTTCGAGTCTTTCTTCGAATTCATGTTGTTCAACGTTTTCAACAATTTCATTAAGTCTATAGCCTCCCATACACCCATCAATATCATATAAAGAGAATCCACATCTGTGATCAGTGACTCTATTTTGAGGATAATTATATGTTCTAATTTTGTCAGACCTATCAGTTGTTGTAACCTGATCGGTTCTCAATTTCCTTTGTTCTGCTATTTCCTTATCTCTTTCTAACGCAGCTAACCTTGCTCTTAAAATAGAAAATGCTTTAGCCTTATTCTTAGGTTGAGATCTTTCGTCTTGTTGCTGAACTTGAATTCCCGTTGGAATATGCGTAAGACGAACAGCCGAGTCAGTTGTGTTGACATGTTGGCCTCCTTTCCCACCTGCCCTCATCGTGTCGATTCTAACTTCCCCAGGTTGAAATTGTCTTTCATCATCCTTCAAGGACGATTCAGTACCTTCGGACATTTTGGGTAACACGACAACTGCTGCAGTGGAAGTATGTATTCTACCTTTAGTTTCAGTGCTAGGAATTCTCTGTACTCTATGAACACCACTTTCGTGTCTTAATATGTTATATGCACCAGGATTATCGATACTTATTATAGCTTCATTTACGCTACCATTATTACCGTGGCTTTCCAGTATCATGGTCCATTTCCATTTCATATGATTGGCAAAATTGATATACATATTTAATAAGTCACCAGCGAATAATGCAGCCTCAGATCCCCCAACTCCAGGTCTTAATTCCAACATGGCAGGTCTGTCACTATGCGTAACTGGCGGTAAAAGTCTGCTTTGTAGTACTTTTGTAAAATTGAATATTTTTGGTATTACTTCCTTTAATTCATTCGAAGCTTCAAGTACCATTTCGGCATCTTCCTCCTCATGCAAAATTTCTAACAAATATTGAAGGTTTTCGATCTCATGTTGATATTTATGATAATTGTCCAAGATAACTGAAATATTTGAGAACTTAACATTGGTTTCTTGATCGAAGGAACCTTCGGATATTTTTGTTTCTAAAACTTTAAATTCATCTTTCATCGATTCGGCTCTTTTCAAAAGTAATGGATGAATTTGGGGCAAATCATTTATACTAATAGTGTCATTGGTCTGAGTGGAATAGTATCTAATTAACCTCGTCTCTTTTAACACCCCTGGAAATCGAGTAAAATTCGTGCATTGCTTCCGTATCAAACTCTTTAACATGTTGGAGTTAGGAAGTATCACGGGGTAGTTTTAATTCAGTTTTGCAAAATTTACTTGTTGATAAAATTTTCGATCTCATGCGTACTGCAAATTTTGAAAAAGATCAGCAGCAAAAATTCAATAATTTCAGTCAGATTCATTTAACTTCGTACTAATAATGTCAGCAGAAACCAAACCAATAAATATAAATGATTTCCAAATCGCAATAAAAGATTTATCAGATGAAAATCTTCATTCAATAAAAAATCAGTTAATAAATTCTATTTCCAAATTAAAAGACACTGATGATATATTAGAAAATGAAATAATATCTACCAAGGAAGAGATATCTAAATTAAAAGAAAACGAAAGTCACGACCAATTGAAGAATGATTTTGATTTATATCGTGAATCTATCGAAGAAAATAAGATAGTAATTGAAAACCAGAATCAGCGATTGGTTGCGTTGAATGAAGAATTAGCGAGGAGAGGATTAGTAACACTGGAGTTAGGGAAAGAAGACAACGGTGTCTATCTTTGATTAAACTAATTATTATATATACAATTTATTTACAATATCTATTTCTTTTTGATTGGAGTTACTTCGGTACCAAATAATTTATTCAAAAATGGTTTTTCTTCAATTTTAATGGGATCTTCCGGTCTTTTACAAATCAATAACCAAGTGGATCCTAAATGGACCCTTTTTTCGTAAGTGATGTCCAAACCGGCATCATCAATTAACTCACCAATATCTAAATTCCATCTACAGGCCCATGTTTTCATTCTCTTATCAGATCTAAAATCGAGATGGTTATTAATGAAATCCCAATTACTTCTGCCATGTTCGAGCAAGACTATTCTCCCTCCTGGCCTTAATAATTTGGACATGTTCTGCAATGCTTTAACTGGGTCTTCATGGGCACACAATCCAAATGCTTCAATGATTGTATCGTATTGAACGGGATTATCTCCACCTGCAAGTTCCACTAAGTCTTCAGCTTTGCCAACCGTGAATGCTGCTTTTTGGTATTTTGGGTAGCTCTTCCTAAACTTTTTCTGGGTTATGTTCACCATTTCTTGGGAAGAGTCTAAAAATGTTATGGAATCAATATTTTCAGGGTACAAATATGGTATATTTCTACCAGTTCCACAGGCAACTTCTAACACATCACCTGTTAATTGTCTCATTAACCATCTACGACGCATACCTAAAAACATACCTCTCTCTTCCCACTTAATTTGATCATCATATACTTTGGCAATTTGTTCAAAAAATTCTGTGGTATTCTGAGCAGGAACAATATTTGGGTTACTAAAATTCTTGTATGGCTCTGAAGGTTCATTTTCGTTTTCACCCTCTTTTTCGATAGTTGGAATCTTTTTTACACTCCTTCTAGCTTGTTTACTATACCATTCTTCTAACTCTTCAGGAGTTGGTTCAAACATCGAATCCTTGTTGAACAAATTTTTCCTTCTGTATTCCTTTCTCATCATTTGATAAATACGGAATTTTTTTTCTTCTCTTGGTTTCAATTTATCGTTACTAAGTGCTTTCAACTTTAAGTACTCATACTCAGATAAACTTGATGCATCTTCAGTATACTTTTTTCTTATATGCTTCATTTGTATGTCCTCATAATATCTATCTCGCATGTAGTAGTAAAAACAAACCAAAAATATCACGAACGCAGAAACATAGTACACAGTCATACCTTTTTTGAATTCTTTAGATTGGAAATAAATACCCCACTGACGCCATTTAGGAAGTTTCTCTAGGTTCTTCTTTTCTTGTAGTTCCTTAGGATTTAACGGAAATGGTGATTTCTTAGAGTAGTATCTCAAAAATACTGGATTTTGAATCGATCTCGAAAAATTTGAGCCAATACCAATATTTGTCAAAAGATTCCGTCTCATAAGCTGCCTCGGCACCTTGGAGCTCAACATTCTATCCCTATACTCTTTGCAATAAGTTGGTTTATGTTCTAAAAGTTCACTACTTAAAATACATCAACAAAATTTAAAATTCCGGGTAACTAAGGGTCGGTATTGATTGAAAATCTGATGGCAAACATAGTTAACATCTTAAGATAAACGGGTGAATTCAATTGTAATTAATATTTGTATAATGACCGAGTCCTCTACATTATTAGAACAAGCTAGAGCGGCATCATCTAATGAGAACTTTAAAGAAGCAGAATCGAAATATCAAGAGATAATTTTGTCAAAAGAGAGTTCTGGACAACCAACTTCTAAGGTTTTACAAGACCAGGAAGCGGCTATATTGGAATTAGGTAAGATATACCAGAATCAGAAACAGCCAGATAAGTTAAATGAACTACTTGCGTATTCGAGGGCTGTTTTGGGGAATTTTGCTAAGTCCAAGACGGCAAAGATCGTGAAAACCCTTATTGAGTACTTTGATAGTATTTCTGATGCTCTTGAGTTACAAATCCAAGCGACTAAAGATAGTATTGAATGGTCCATTGACAATAAGTTATCATTTTTAAGACAATCATTACAATTGAAATTGTCTGCGTTATTATATCAAAAAGGATCATTTCAGGATGCGTTAAGAATTATAACGGATTTGTTAAGAGAATATAAGAAATTAGATGATAAATCATCTTTAGTTGAGGTTCAATTATTGGAATCCAAATTATTCCATGCTTTGAGGAATATTCCAAAATCAAAAGCTGCGTTGACGAGTGCAAGAACATCCGCTAATTCAATATATTGTCCAACATTATTGCAAGCAGAGTTGGATTGCCAAAGTGGTATTTTGAATTTAGAGGATAAGGATTACAAAACTGCATTTTCATATTTTTACGAAGCTTTTGAAGGCTTCAATTCTCAGGATGATGATAAGGCAATTGTTATCTTAAAATACATGTTATTAACCAAGATTATGTTAAATCTCATCGATGATGTTAATACAATCTTAGGTAGTAAGAATGTTCTTAAATACCAGTCAAAAGATATTGATGCAATGAAGTCCATCGCTACCGCCTATTCTAATAGATCCTTGAAGGATTTTGAAACATCACTTTCTACATACTCACAAGAGTTAAGATCTGACCCAATTATTAAAAGTAACTTCAATGCTTTATATGATAACTTATTAGAACAAAACTTGTTGAAGATTATTGAATCCTATAGCTGTGTGGAATTGGCACATATTTCTCAAACAATCGGCTTAAATTTACAACAAGTTGAAGGCAAATTATCTCAAATGATCTTAGATAAGGTTTTCTATGGTGTCCTAGACCAAGGAAATGGCTGGTTGATTATTTATGATGAACCAAGAAAAGATGCTACTTACGAGGCTTCTTTTGGTCTAGTAAACAATTTGTCTAACATTGTTGATTTATTATATGACAAGGCTTCTTCATTGAATTAGATTATTTATATAGTAGATCCGTTCGGATATAATGACCTAAATAAGAATTAGAATATATATTTTATTCTCGTAAAATTTTGAAAGTAAAAAGCTAATGAAATATTCCCTTCATACCTCTTTCGCTTGCAATGACTGAGATTTCTCCACATCTAACAAGAAATTCATCCAATCTTCCGCAATTAACAAAACAATTTAAGAAATCATTTTCATCTTCATTAGCAACCTCAGTGAATAATTTCAAAGCTTTGCGCATGTACGACCAATTGTTTAACCTCGAGTATTGATAAATTTGCAATAATTCCATAATCAAGTATGGTACATATATTATTCGAAATTCTTTAAATAACTTTCTATCCTTTGAAGCAGACGCTGTTAAATCAGAAAGCCATTGGAATATTAATTTTGTTAATGTTTTAGTGACTTTTTCAATTGAATTATTTATATGATTTGATTTCCAAAATGAATTTGGAGTGATTTTTGATAAAACACCATTTATCTTATTATCTTTCAAGAATTGCTTCCAATCGTCGATCAATAATAAACCCAGAATCAACGACTCATAATTTAAAAGCTCTTCTTTGTCGTCTTCACTAACAATACATGGAGCATTAGGGGAGCTAATCGAATTTATATGCGACTCGAGGTCGTATTCCTTAATTAATTGTTTGAAATTCTTATCTTTACCAAATTGCTTCAAAGACGATACTTTACCACACAATAAAAACCTACGCATGATAGTAATAGAAGCTGAAATAGCATCTTCATGCATGGAGTTTTCAAAAAACCATTCAACTGCGCGATATAATTTGTAATCTGCTTCATCAACCTTGGATATATCATCGTGTACTATGACCTTAGAAGATTGTTTGTAAAGAGGTTCGGTCTCAATCATTACTCGTTCGACAGTTCTTCTTAAAATATTAAACATTTTATTTTCATTATATCCTGAATCAGCATGAGCCAGTAACTCGTCGCCAGCGGGGGTAGTGATATTACTAAATTTTTTGGCAATTGAAATCTGTTTTGCACGTTCTTCTGAATCAGTGATCGAAGACAAAAATAATGAGTAGCATTCCCTTGCATCCTTTTCATCAGGAATAAATGACAAATAAATTGGTATTAATTCTGCCAATTGAAGCTCCGATAATTTGGAAACATAAAGAGTCATGACCTTCGTGGTATCCTTGACGTTGACTTTATTATTTTCAGAAATTAATTCAAAGATTGCTAAATGAGTAATAACCCTAAGAAGGTGACTTTTGGATATCAATGAATCATTATCATTATCCTTGCTTACCGCATTCAATGATCTAATAATGTTATGTATTAATGTGGATACTTGATTAATCATTATTCCACCCATTATTATTCGAAGAGGATGTGTGCTTTGTTCTGCAACTCTATTTTCGGATTTCAGCAATGTATTCAAAATATCATCGATAGTGGACAACTGCGGTTTAGGAACAGCCAAGGATAATGTTTCATCGTTAAACATATTAGTCGGCAAACTGGACACTATGAACGATTCCAAATTATGTATATACAACTGATTCAAATATAATAGAAGGTATTCTTCCCAGTTATCTGCAGAATCTTCCAAGTTTAAAGATATATTTCCACCACTCAAATAATTATATATTAACTTTTCATTACGATTTAAATTAGGCTGTTGAGATAGCTTATAGACTGTTTTTTTCCATAACAACTTGTGCCTAATACCAGAGGGTTTAGAAACAAATGATGAATGATCTTCTGACTTGTCATTAGTTAGACTATCTAAAATCATATTATCAGAATCTTGAGGGGGATTTATGAATTCTTGATCAATAACAGGATCAACATAGTCTTGTATAGCGCCAATTAATATCAATGCGAGTGTGAAATTTCCTGTAAGATTAGCGTAATCTATGGCTTCCTGAATTCTATTTGCTAGAACCAATTTATATATCAAATAAAATGTCTGCGAGTCCGTATCATTGTCAGCCGGATGAATCGTCTTTCCCGACCTCAAAGGTGAATCCGTATCCAAATCATCTACAATATTGTCTGGTTGTTTTTTATTATTCGCCAACACTTCGAAATCCTTGTTTTGAATCGCTTGCCTTGTATTTTGCCATTTTCCATCAGGAGCGTCGCTTGAATCACTAATATCTACAGACTTTGAATTTGTCTGTAACCAATGAATCATAAGAGATATTTCCCGAACTTTAGGATTCCTTCTTAAGAAGTTTTCTTGTTTGACTGACAACGAAGAAAATGGGTATTCCTTATACGGCTCTTCGGAAATACTGAGTCTGAATGAATATAAGCTTTCAACTAAGTGCCATAACTTCGTTTCTAAATCCCAATTTTCAAATTCTTCTTGAAGATCATTATTTGATCCCTCTTCACTAAGTTGCTCGCCAACCAGCAAAGCATGCAATGCACATATAGATTTGAAATTGGTAATTATTTCAAAGATATCCTGCTGATTATTTAATTGATATCCTTGTAAAACATTTGCAAATTGTGTCTCAGGAACATTAGCCACATCTACATCCTGAACCACCATTGAAGTCGCCATAATCAATAATTCGATGTATTTCTCTATGTAAACAACTATCAAGATTTATTATGCCATGTTTTTAATTTTTTCACTGTACTATTGCGACATTGAACTAATGTCGCACAATGTCTATGTTATATACAGGTAATAATCATATCGCTATCAGTCCTAATAATGACGGCAAATATGGGGACAAGCATAGTCGTTCTCTAAAGGTAATTTAAAACTACATATACATATTAGAGTAGCATTTTATCAGTTTCAATATGTCCAAAGGAATGGAGAGTAAAGTGGGTTCTTCTACACCTTCATTTGATGATGAGGAAGACAACAACCCATTCCCACATATGCAAGGACTTGCAAGCCTAATGAGTGAACACCGAATTTCTAATGGAAGTAATATACAAGATAAAAGAGATAAGGATACTAATAATAATAATAGTAATAATAATGGCGATGACGATGATGATTCAATACTACTTTACAATTCTAATAATCAAAATGATTCTAAATCAGGCTTGAATAAAGATACTTTCAAATCAATTCAAATTAATTACGAGAGCAGAGTAACCAGGCTTTTGAGACCTAATAGTAATGTGAGAATGCAGATAACGAAAGCAGGTAATTCTAATGAGGGCATGATAAATACGCTGAAAACATACATTGTTTATAGCATACAGTTAATAAACAACGATGACCCTAGCGATGAGATACAGACCAGAAGAAGATACAGTGACTTCGAAAGCTTAAGAGATGTTCTCAAAAAAATATTTCCGTTGATCATTATTCCACCTATTCCACCCAAAAATTACTTCAAGTTTTCAATGCTTAATGATTTGGTTAGCGGAAATATACTGCAATCGTCTAACAATAGCAATAATAATAGTACGGGTGCAAATACTTCGACAAATACTACGAATGGATTGGCGTCAAGTTCGACTAATTATTCATATATAAATTCGACACACTTGAACAAGAATAAGCTAATTGAGCACAGAAAGAGACTACTTTCTAATTTTCTCAATAATTGTTTAGCAATTCCTCAGATAAGAAATTTAGAATTTTTTGCTAAGTTTTTAGATCCCAATGCTAACTGGACAGACGAAATAACCTTAATTTCTAGCCAATTACCGAAGTCTATTTACATGCTGAATCCAGAAAATGGTTTGAAGACAGACTCCATTTACGCCAATTTACCTAATCCTGTTGGCAACCATTCTATAAACATGTCATTTTGGAAACCTTTGCAAGAAAATAAGAAAAAGCTAACTAAGAAAACGAATAAAATATTGAATAATGGGAATCCTGAAGCCTCGTCGCAACCAAGTACAGGAACGACTAGTCCAGTAAATAACAGTCCTGATTACTTAAAGAATAAGTATATAGTAGACAATTCTTGTTTGGATGATATTAATAAAAAGATCATGGCCAATTTCATAGGGTTGGCAAATGATTATACTGAATTGGGAACAATTTTTAATTCCTTCTCGCTCATTTTATCTGACTCGCCCATGATTAGAACTGCAAAAGCAAAAAATACCCAGGAGGAGGATTCAAAGTTAAATATAATATTTGATAAAATTGGACAAATATTTGATCGTTCCTATATAACTATAAGTACATTAATTGCGGACCTAGAAACAAAATTTTCAGAACCATTAGGAGAGGCAGTTCAATATTCTACTATACTACAATTTATTGAGAAATTTGAAAGACGTAAAGTCCGCCAGCAGCGGTTGTTAGAAGTCGATGTAAAGGATAAGAAACAGGAATTAGAAGAATTATTTAAAGCGGAAGAAGAGTCATCAAGAATTGAAAATATGATGCATGCGCAACCTATCTCTAAGGATCCAGACCTTAACTCAAGAAGTACTAATTCAACCCAAAATGTAAACCTGAGTATAAAGTCTACTAACAGCAAATATAAGTATTTGCCTAATATGAATTCGTTTAAGAAGATTACTCAATATGTCACTGATATAATAGACCAGAATCCTGAGCAAACGAGGAAACAAAAAATAACTTCTCTACAGGGAAAAATAGGAACATTAGAAAAGTGCCAAGGTATTATGCTCCAGGATATCTCATATATCACTGATGAAGTAAACAAAAACTTTAAACTGTTCCATACTAAACAATTAAAGATAATTTATGAGATATTATTATGTTACAATGGCTTTCTTGTTGAATGGGCGAAGAAAAATGTTGATATATGGGAAGAGATAAAAGACGAAGTTGAGAAGTTATAACTTTTGATTTTGTCTCTAACTTATTCGTAGAATCGTTAGTCGAAGTTTATTCAACTCTATAAATAGTCATGCATATTATTTACTGATTTTGATCCAGTAAGTATTCAATAACGGCTGGACCCCATTCAGCAGCTCTTTTGTATAACGAGATGTCTTCGGGAAGCCCTTTGATAGCACCAATAAGCCTCTCACGAACTTCTTTATCCTCCTTCTTAATCACACTCATTGGTAATAAGTAGGTTCTAATCGTGAAAACCACAGCGTTTGACTTTGGTAGCTTTGTTAGCGCTTGTCGTTCGCTTCGATAGTGAACTTGTTTGTCAAAATCTAAAGTAGCGGGGTCAAGGGCTACTTGTTTTTCACCTTCCTGCAACTGGTGTCCCTTGTTTTGATCATCTACGTAAAGCTTACTATGAGTTTGAACCGAAAAATTGCTTCGAGTTACAAACTGACCTGGCTCCATTCTATTAAAAAATCTATTCATGGAAAGCTTTAATTTCGATTCATAACCAGGAACAGGATGATGTACAAAGCTCAATGGCATGTTAAACCGATCATTGGGATTGAAGCCCGCTGCAAAGCCAAATACACCTGCCTTGAAAAAGTATTCCGTCCCGTCCTTTTCATCCTCTCTCGAAGGGTCTTTTAGTAATATAAGAAAATCTTCTTCTATATTATTGACCAATATTATCAACAACTCCCGAGCATTGGATACGTCATCTGCACGGATAGGTAAATAATTACCCGTTATGGAATTGAAGATTTTGCCATTTTTTGCATCCTTAAAGTACATGGGGTACTTATCACACATATAATTAACAACAATATCGTAAAATTCCCTAATAGCTGGTTCAGCTTCGTCAGTGATAAACAATGTATTATTAGCCAAATCCTTATCTGGCGGATAATCAGGATGAGTATTCGATACTATTTTTGACTTATTCTCAATCCTGCTAAGATAAGTCGGTTCAATTAAAAGCCAATCTTGAGGGTCTAACTTTCTAATTCCCATGGTCAACTTGTATTCACCATTTTTGAACGGGTATGACTTCAGGGGAGTTACTTCATCCCACTTAAAATCTGGTGGCATTGGCTCAATAATGTTCTTCACGTATGACTCGGATTTCTTATCAGCATTTTTAATGCTTGGAGTCCTGAATCTTGATTTGTGATACTTGAAAAATGTGTAAAATACGATAGCTCCTATTGAAATTAGCAATGGGAGTTTATCGGCTAACTCAGAAGACATATACTCTCGAAAATACCCCATATTATACCCGGGGGGCATTGGCATATTTTGAAGTGAAATGATCTCTTCTTATATACTTTTTAAGATCTCCACGATAACAATAGCTTTCCGACCCGCGCGGAAAAGTCACTATTTCGACGGGAAGATTAAAACCGTTGGGGACAACTTTTTCAGTATATCTTAGCGAGCTTATCAGTCCAGGCTCTTGGTATGCTCACTCAATAAGGGCCGCAGATATGCATTAAAGCTCTGAGTAGCTAATTCCGAAACATGAATTAGAACCTGTTAGTTAAAGTCTTTTGTATATAGAAAAAAACTAACAAAATAGGGTTCAATTTCTGCATTAGACATAATATACCCATCGATAGGTCAAGTAAGGTAATATAATTGGGTGGACATTGGAAGCTTGGAACGTAGAGAACAATTGTGCTCACGTGAAATTATAGAGGTGGTGCAAAATTTTTTTATTGAGAAGTTGATAACCATACCAAACCTTGACTTGGGTAGATAGAGTAAGAATGTCAAGTTCATTGTCTTTGATTGCCAAATACTTGGATGCATCAAAGAAATCTGAATTGGCATTGACGTTATCGGCTGATCTTGGAAAAAATGCCGATAGTCTAGTCGCATTATGTGAATTGCTTGATGTTATAGATACGGAAACTCAAGAACTGATTTATCCTAGGATATTAGAGTTTGCTAACTCCATATTGGATGACAAGGATAAACACAACGATGATAATTATGGTGATATTTTGAAGTTAACGGAAAAGTTACCTCAATTGTACAAAAGCCTATTGCAAAAGGTCATCACACACTTGGAATTGTACATAAATGATTCCCCACTTAATTTTTTACCAGATATCAGAGATATAATCACTCGCAGTGATGAATATGGGATACGTCCGTTGAAACCAGATACTATTCTGGGAGGACAAGCTTTAGACAACGAGTATATTTTGTGGCTTTTCCATTTCTTGGAGTACGTCTTCGTTCATCTGAAGGGCGAAATACAAGGTAAATCCGAAATTGATCCTATATTATGCTTCTTCATTGGTGTAGTTGATGAAGATATTGCAGCAGTAGTTTCTAAATTGCTCCGTTGGAGAATTGAATCAATTGTTATTATGAGTAAAGATTCTACATTTATTTGGGACATATTATATGCCTTAGAGAAAACTGACAATAAGACGCATAGAAGCAACGCTTTCGTATTTTGGTTACGTTATTTGAATAGCTCTAATAGTGATTTGATAACTAAGAGTGACATATACCAGAGCAAGATCTTAAGTAATGAAAAATACTGGAGAATTATTCAAAATGGTTTAAATAGTAATTCCCATGACCATAGAAAATTCTGCTTATCACTCTTGCAACTCTCTGTTAAATCAATTAATTCGTCATTTGAAAATAAAATGTTGTCATGGGATACCACTTTGAAAGATCAACATTTAAAAGAATGGTCAAGATATATTACTTTATTTGAAATATTAGGTATTGATACCTCATTGCATCAAGCTGAGGCCGGTGTTAATGATATTGTTGGCTTGATTTCACCTAATTCTTTAATTAATCCATCGTGGGGTTTTTGTTTGTTATCTACTGGGTTTAAGGCTTCTATGGACTCTGTTAGAAAGTTTTCCTTGAGCCTCTTATTGTCCATTCCATTAGAAGATTTGTATTTAATCAAATATGGTTTGGAATATTTGGAAGATGTCTATTTGCCTTATGCCATGTTAGCATCTCATTTTTCAGTAAGACAGATGAATGGTGTCAACGAAAGCCAATGTGAATATGGTGAACGATTATGCGAATTTGTAGCTAGTTTGTTGAAAAATTTGAAGGACGAAAATGAATTTCAAGATGTTTCATTTTCTATTTTAAAGGTTTTAGATAAATTAAAGGATGCATTTGATCCAGCTAGAGTGTACGTAACGTTAGGTTTGCTTCGCGGTTTAGAAGGTAAACTAGTTTTGTCGTTTAGTAGACATGATATGTTGTTATTGAGACTATTTGAAAGTAATTCAGAGGGTGACTTATTTGAAACTGCTAACCAGACAATGAATTTGAAGTTAGTATTAAATTTCAAACTTAGTAGCGTAGTTCAATTTATCGAATTATTGGACAAATTTATCAAATTCAATGGATTTGGAATAGTCAGGGACAATTTACCTTTAATTGTGAATTATTTGGAGAGCAATACCATTTCTTATGAAGTATTAATGGATTGTTTAAGAGACGAAAACATAGATTCTTCAGATTTAAAGGCGTTAATTATTGGATTATCAAACTCGTTTTCATCTGATGAAACGGATAAAAGTTTTAAGATCTTAGATGAATCAGACTTGATTTTAGCCAAATTATTCCGTTCCAATATTAAAATGGATATATTACAAAATACGGGAGGATCTAAGGTCTGTGAAAGTTTATTTTCAAGGGTTCTCAAAGGCGAAGGTGACGCTGAATTATATGATACATTATCAGAGGTTGATTTTACTTCGTTTAGACATTTATTGCCAGTGAGTGTTAACTTGATTGAACTATGGGCGGTTATCAATGCAGAAGTTCAATCGGATGATAGGTTAACTCTATTACTACTGGTTAATAGACTTAAGTTTTTAAATAACCTTCTTGATGCCATTCCCTTAGCCAATGTTGAGAATCATGAAATCTTTGATATTAAGCCGTTGATTAAATTTAATGAATTACTTTTCATAAATTCTAAAAAAGTGTCTAAGAATTTCAAGACTTTTTATAAAGTAATCGATGATGCATTCGGTGAGTATTATAGAATATTGTCACATTCGCTTTCAAAACAGATTCCAACCGAGAATGATATTGATAAAATACTAGAGGTTATTAATCCTAGCTTTACACATTATCAGTCTAGTATTTCGCTTGTAAGGTTATTAAAAAATATTCTTATGCAAGATTGCATTTCGCCCCAGATTATAGAGACTACCGTTGAAAGTTTGGCAGACATATGGGATAATTTGAATTCATCTAGGCTCCAATTAAACCAGAAGGATTTACATGTATTAATAATTAACACTTTATCACAACCAATAATCATGAATGAATCGATAAATAATGAAACAATTAGTAAACGCTTGTTCACTTTTGGAAAATCGATAATCGAAAATGCCCAAGGTAGAAGGTGCTTGCTACCATCTTTTACCAAGAACTTATCAAACTACCAGATTTATAGCTCCTCAGATTTTGAAAAGATAGATTGGATTCCTGAAATCTTGGTTAGAAGTTTTACAGTATTTCAATTAAAGAGCAACGTTTTCAGATTAGAGAATGTTATTGGTAGACTTTACGACAAAAATATTTCATCGGATAGGGAAAGTAACCTTTATAACAAAATTTATGGATCTGAGGAAATTAGTGCAAGAATTAATCTCATGGCTATTTTTAACTCGGTCAAATCATCTGAATATACTTATAGAATATTCCGCTTTATTATTGACAATGAGGAGGAGTTTAATTTATTTAATGTTGTGAAAACCACGGATGGATTTGAAGAATGGAGAAGAATCCAACTATTTACTATTATAATATCTATAATAGATAAGATAGATAATGAGGTAGTTATTTCACAATATGTTCCGACTTTTATTAAATTAATCGAGACTGAACCAAGCCCATTGGTCAGAGCATATATAGAGTGGATCATTGCTGTTAACTTGTTGAAAAGCGAAGAACTCACCACATTGTTATTTGATCGATTGAAAACATTAATCGATTTAACTGGATTAAAGCCAGCCGTTGTAACGGCTTATGAAAGAATATTATTTTTAATGATTCAACAATTACCACACGCTAGAGAATCAAAAGCATTAACTAAGTTTTTAACCGTCATTGTTCCAGGAGCTACGTCTAATAAGGCGATGACAAGACATTTTTCTGTTTCATTAATATGCTCTATCTATCCAGAGATACAATCAAAAAAATTGATAATAGAACCAGAATTAGTGACTATGATTGAGAATATGTACAAAAGTGCAGTAAATTCAGAATCATTTGGCCAGTATAGAAGTGGTGATGCATTGTTATGGAATATCAAGCAAGATTTGAATTTGGTTAGTATTGCCGGTGCTCTTTTGTTGAGATTAAGTGACCGTGATATTGATTTCATTACTAAAGAAGATTATTTGCAGCATTTATCCCAGGCACAAATTGATCATTTGACTCATCCTGTTGGAGAAAACATGCAAGAATTGTGGATAAGAGAACGTAAATCATTGGCAAAGAAATCAGTACAAACGGTTGTCGACATCTCGCAATCAGCATCACAATCTCCATTACAGACTAAGAGTGGTGCTTGGAACACGATAATTGATATTGATGCTACTTCAAATGGAGCGGATATCATTCGGAGTGACTTGATAGTTGTGTCATCGTTAGTTGACAAACCTCCAAACTTGGGAGGAATTTGTAGATTATGTGATGTATTGGGAGCTGGATTATTGACTTTGAATGATATCAGTGTTAAAAATCATCCTCAATTTAAGAATGTCGCTGTGACTGCTGACTATTGGATGCCCATGCTTGAAGTTAAACCTTCAGAAATAATCTCTTTCTTGAAAGAAAAGAAAAAAGAGGGTTACACTTTAATTGGATTGGAACAGACAGATAAGTCTGTTGAATTGAATAGTGATTTAAAGTTTCCTAAAAAGTCTTTAATCTTGTTAGGAAGAGAGAAGGAAGGAGTTCCAGGGGATTTGTTAGCTGAATTAGATTTCTGCGTTGAAATTAAACAAGTGGGAGTTATTAGATCCATGAACATTCAAACTGCGACGGCAATTATAGTCCATGCTTATTCATCGCAACACTGCTGAATACAGTAAATACAAAGTGAAACTTTACTCAAAATCTATATTACAATATATATGTCATATATAACTTAAAAAATTGTTCCATCATTTTCGTCGTCCTGCTCTATTAAAGTATCTAAGGCATGTGTAATAGCACCACAGTATTTATTAACCATGGATATACCTCTAATGATTATCTTATTGTTCAATCCCTTATAATTAGCATTATTAGAATTCGCCGCTAAATTCATATTGCTAACTGGAGCTATGACCTTATTGTTATGCCAGCTGACTATTAAACCATTTTCAAGCACTTGTTCTTCTTCTATCGTCGGATCAAAAATTAAATTTTGACCAATTACACCTAAAGTAATGAATATAGGAGGACTAAATGACTCGTCTTTAATCATTGTGGATAATAACTGAGCATTATCCCAATCATCTGAAAAAGTTGGCTGTTCTTCGATCTCTTCGTCATTCACATCGCTAACTAACAATGGTAATTTTGTGGTCTTCAATGCCAAATAGCAAGTTAATGATAACAAACTTAAAGGATAAGATGAGTGACTTATCACAATGCAATCTATGAAAAGCTTAAAAGTGTATTTGGATGTTAATCTTAAATATTGAAATGGAAAGTTCTTACTTAACAAATTTGTCAAGTTGAAGTTTAAATTGGTAACGAAATTAGAATCATCTCTATGGCCTGCAACATCTATATCACATTCTATTAAATTATTTTCTTGTGATATTAACACTACCTTGGATTTAACGCTTACAATACATTCGCTTCCATCCATTAGTCTTATTCTTGCAGATCCATTTGATGCAGGTAAAAACGAAGTTTTTGCTTCCAACGGACGAAATTGATGATCCGATCTTGAATCTGGCCTAATAGGAGTAGCCTGAGTTAGAGAATCATACAAGTATGATCTTTCTGCTGGTGATAATATCATATTTTGCTTATTCAGTATTATCAACCTAAATATTGTACTGTCTTAAAAAAAAGTCATAGCGATGATTAAAATAATTGGCGTTTACGCACGACAATTTTTTTAAATCAAAATTTGAATAACAACTTAGCTTGATAAAACGACCTTTTATTTCAATTACCCAAACTGATCAATTACATACGAGATGTCGACGTTGTTTGGCCAGAGTAGTGCTTCAAGTGGAACGTCTGGTAATCTTTTTAGCCAGCCTCTTTCTAGTATAAGCAACCAAACATCTAATAACAACATCAACAACAACCAACCCACATGGTTTCAGAACCCTAAGAAAAGAACCATTCCTAATCATTTGGTACCAAAACGAAAACCCGGGTTTCAAATATCTTCCACGTCAACGTCCAAGAAGGACTCAGATGATAAGAAGGACGCTTTACGATCTAATAATTCCAGTCAATTTAACTTATTGTCATTTGGAACATCTCAAAGAAAAGCATTAACTTCAAGCGGAACAATGGACCGTACTAATAGTGTTGGAAGCTTGTATGATACTAGTGTAGGGGATATAAGCAAGTATGAGAAAACATTCAATGATACCTTAACTGATGATTTTCCTTTGTATAATAATGATGATGATTTACCACCGTCGAGATCTATTTATGACTTGAATGACGAAGTATTAATCTCTCTCAACAAACCAGCTAACCAGCATGCAGATGCCTTTATTAACAAGGATCCTAAAAATTTTAATAACGTGTTTAACAGAGATGATGCGTTAAAGAACAATTCTGAACAAACCAATGAAGAGAACCTTAAATCTAATCCTTTGCAAAATGGAGAGTCAGCAATATTAATATTTGGATATCCCGAAAGTATGGCGAATCAAGTTATTTCCTATTTTCAAGAGTTTGGAACCATTTTGGAAGAGTTTGAAATCACTAAGCAAAAGAATACATTATTAAAACACTATCAAACCAATAATAGCTCAAATAAAAGGCATCAAATTGTTCCTATTCTAAGTGGAAGATCATGGGTAAAAATTACCTTTGATAATCCTGCTTCAGCGATTGACGCGTTGCAAGAAAACGGGTGTGTGTTTAATGGCGTGTTACTTGGTGTTATACCATTTAGTAAAGACGCTATAGAAAAATTACAGAAAAGAAAATTAGAAGAAGGTGAGGATATTGGAGGTGGATTTGAGTATCAATTAAGCTCATTTGATAAATCGAGTAAGGGCGATAATGCAGTCACAGGGGACTCCAACGATATTCAAGGATCATATATTACTAGACTAGACATTAGAGACGGCTCTGGATTATTCTTACAACCTAATTCAACCGATCCGACGAAGTCAGAAGCGGATAAGAAGAAAGAAGAGAATTTAGGATTTGTAGGTAAAGTTTTCAGATACTTTTTTGGCTTCAACGAATTATAAATAACACGTATATATAGATAGATATATATTTATTTATTTGTATAATAAAGTGATTAATGCCACCTTGGTTTCGGTTTGGATGGACTTGATGGTCTGGAAAGTCTTTTAGGACTTGGAGATCTTGAATCCCAAGTTGCTGTTCCTGGGGTCCTACGTTGAGGAGATAAGGACCTTTCATACAGACTTCTCGATGGAGATAATGTTTTTCTATTTAGTGACATATTATTTTTTAATTTACCAATAGGCGATTGCAACCCTCTTGCAAAAGTACTCTCATGCATAGGCGTTGATCGATGAAATGAATTATCCACATTAGTATTTTTCCGAGAGTACGGTGTCGATATAGTATACCAAGGTTTGTCCTCGTTATCACTGTAATCTTCAAGATCAAAAAGTGCCTGGCTCTTTGGAGTCTGCCTGAAAGAATTCCTTCTTAAAAATTCTCTTTCGCGTTCAATTTGCTCATTCTCGTATCTCGATTCATCGTACGTTAGATCTGTATTGGGTTGGCGTAGCTGATGATATAAGTCGTTTCTACCTCGTGGCATAACAGGTGAATCACGGTAACTATTCTTTACTTGTTGGTACTTAAATGATCTTGGAAACTGATCTTGTCTTTCTGGAGACATTGTCTTACTTTTTTCTATCGTGATATTATTAAATGGTTCCCCATTGATATTATGGGTGATGAATACTTTCAGTCTAGTGTTTTGTAAATGAGGCTTCTGTTCTGACTGTACAACCATATTACAAGGCGCATGAGGACCAAGCGTTGCATTAACAACCACATCTTTTTTCAAAACCGATGTTTTCGGCTTTACAAATTTATTGTTATATTCTTGGAACATTTCTTGGTATAATATTTGTTTATCTTGGAGTAAGACGAGGAATCTTTGCGTTATAATGAAATAAAAATTACCGTTAAAGATTATGGCAATGAACAAAATCTTCCAAACGGGCAATTCTTTAGATATTAACTTAATTATGAATAGCAAAATTGGAGAAAAGTTAGTTAATACAAAAAGCGAGAACTTTGAAGGGTTCCACACTTTTAATTCCCAAATATCCTTTTCAATTAAGTTGATCTCGTTTATAGTGTCTTCGTCGTAAAAGCTTTCGTCATCCGAACAAAGCTCTATGGCCTGGTTTGTATGGCTATAGAAAAATTTGTAAATTTTATCAAAAATCGAATCATTGATATCATTTTTAAGGACCAATTTTCTTGCTGATAAACTCTTCGGCTTTTCTGTTATCGAGGAATATAATAGTGTATAGTACTTAAAGGAGAACAAAACATAAATGAAATTACTTAATGATACAATACCTAAGAAGGCGATATTAAAGTTCAAAATAGTATACCACCAAGAATCCTCCGTATTAATACTCAATTCGATTGGATCGCCACTGACAGCCCGAGACCGAATTTTTTCATAATTATAATAATCGGCTTGGAATAAAGGATTCTCTCTCTTATTGTAAGACAAATCATAATACACTGTGATTCTAATCAATATCAAATATATTAAAGTTAAAGAACAACTCAAAGGAATTGCCATTGAATCGCAATAGTTATCCCATTCAATCGATAATCTTATTTCATTTAACCATAGAAAGAAATCGAATGGGAATGATTTTATTTTGTTTATGAATGGCTGTTTCCTTACTATTGGTTTTCGTTTAATCATACTTCCATAGTGGTTGATAAATTGTGTTAGTGATTATTAAAATTCTGATGTTTGTTTTGATCCACGCGCATGTAAACAAAAAAAACTAGTGAGTACAAAGTATCGAAATTTATATCATTAACATGAAGAACACTTCATATAAGATGAATAGATATGATGATACGATTGAACGGCTAAAAAAAAAGAATACTGTACTCAGAAACCATTTAACTGATTTAATAAACGACGAAGATAATACTGAAATAAATATACTTAAACAGGTTATGGCCCCAAGCAAATCTACAAATAATCGACTGAAAGCACCTACGGAAACTAATCACGAATCGAGGAAGGAACCGGAGATAAAAAGAGCATTTACAAATGACCAGCACGACGAGTTTAATCAAGCACATAAGAGGGATGATGTATCGAACATCAAACGCGCACATAGGGAGTATTATAACAAATTCAAAGAGAATATAAATGAGATCAAAAACACTGACTATCAGCTACCAATAAGACATGATGATTCTAAGATTAGTGATAAATTGAAAGAAATCCAACTCAACGATCAATACGATAAATTGGAATTGAAAAAGAAAGAAAACTTATTATTGAATAAGCTTAATGAAAAAGATGAAATGCTATCATCCTTACAAAACAAAGTTAAAACATTACAACAAGAAAATCGCCAATTGATTGACCACAGCCACGAATATAAGCATCAATTACAAATTGAACGAGACCAAAATAAGCATCTTCGCAAACTCGAAATCGATTCAAGACTGGCTTCAAGCCAAAACAGAAATGAAGAAATCATAAACCTCAAAGCTAAGTTGCATGAATTATCAGAGCAAAAAAACGTCCTATTGGAAAAAAATCAAGCAAATGATGCAGATACTGCGAAGTGTCAAGCTACCATAAAGGATTTAACAATAAAGCTCATTATGTATAAAAAGTCAAATAACTCCGCTAATGACAGAATAGATCGTCTTCGTCTGATAAACCGATTCCTCACAACAACTATCCTGAAAGAGACTTCCACTCGGGACGATACCGAATCGTTGTTGGATTCAACTACCATTCGCCTAATCTCCCAATCTCAAAAAGATAACCTCTTTACTCAGAACACAAACTTCTCTGCATGTGATGCAAAGATGAAATTCAGAGTCTTGATCAAGATGGTTATTTTCGTCATTAGGGTACAAAATATATGCAAAACTGAAATTAACTTTAAGAACCAGATAGTCCAATTGTTGAATAATGATTGATGTTTCTCATAATATTAACGTATATACAAAAGCGCTTCCGTTAGAACTCCACAATAGACCTTATATACAACTAGACAAATTTGTATGGAAAAGTTAGCAAGTTAATTCAATTCTATTTATAGTTAGATTATGTAATATCCAACTATCGCTTGTTACGTAACTGCACCTTTGGAGAATATTTTATGTCTTCTGGAAGTATGTAACAAGGAACAGAATATAGAACCACTCCAAACACTTGCCCTCAGTAGGTGCATAATTGAATTCTCCTTTCTCTATTATGACTCCTTTTGATAGCTTAGCTACATGGCTTGACAAAAAAGTTATGGTTAGTGATGTTTCGCTTGCTTTGCTTTCAATATAACAACGATGAAGATAGCCTACCGTAGTATATATTAACATATTTTATATTGGAATACGTTACCACTATTATAATCCAGCCGCCTCCATATTGGTATCTTCAAAATAGTGTTGCTATAATATGTACCATTTTGAAATGGCTTGAAATTGCAGACAAATTAGTGCACAGAATAATTTTAGATTCCATATGAAGTCTAGAATTATGTATCTCGCGGATTATGACATCATTACTGATTTCTGGAAGCGCCCCAAAGAAGGTCATAAACATTGCAACATAGTCGAATATATATCAAGAACATCTTTTTCTTAAAAATATATACTATAAACTTCATATACAATATAACGTGTAAGTGGTATAAATAATATAGAGATTACATTCTAGTAGAGTATAAATATACTTATGACTACTACATTCTTATCCAATTCAAATGATAACAGTCCCAATAACAACCAGCCATGCTACTTTCTGAATGAAAATTCGGGCGTAAACATTATACCAGATACTTCCTCCGTAAAGAATAGAGGAAATATTGTAAGTAACGAGAAAAGAGAGCTGACAAATATGGGTGGAAATCTGCAATTCAACTTGCCGAAAGATAACAACCAGACACAATGGATATCTGCTTGCAAGCCAATAGGAGTTCCTTCCATGTCACCGACAAATAAACTGCATTTCGAAGATTTACCGGAAGATATACATCGAGTGGAACCGGATCAATTAGAGTCGTTATTGAGGGAGGAGGAGGAGTTGATAATTTTTGATACTAGACCATTCAATATGTATTCCGTATCGAGAATCAATGGAGCAATTAATATGTGTGTCCCGACTACGCTCCTTAAGAGGAATTCGTTCAATATCCCACAAATGTTAAATTCGACCAGCATACCTTTGGATCTGAAGGACTTGACTCTACTGAAGATCACTGCCAATAATTCCAGTGCACCAATGAAAGTGTTGGTGTATGATTCTGATAGCTGCGATAGCCACACATCATTCCTGTTATATAAAACGTGTATGAAATTCCGCCGGTACAACCAGGACGGTTCAAAAGCTTTTGATATTTACTTCATAAATAATGGTTTCACAGGTGTGAGCAAGCTGGCAAGCTTCGTGGAAAGTGATTCATCAACCCCTTTTAATGCAACTTCACCAAATGTCAAACAACTGAGTAGTTTATCAGGATTCCAATTACCCTCATGTACCCCATCAAACCAAAGGTTCCTTTCAAGCATCAAAAAAAACAACTTACCGAAGCTAAGTATAAGTGCCGCTAAAGATAATTCAAATGATAATGATAATGATAACGGTAGTAATGACAATTTAGATAGCTATCATTATAATTTCAGACTTCCCGATATTTCAAAGCATGCATCTGAAAAGCTTCCAGGTTGGTTAAAATTTTTCACAACGAATAGAAACTCGCCTAGTTATACTAAAGACATACTAAAAACTATAAATTGCAAATTTAACAAAATCGAAAAATCAGAGCAAGCTAGATTAAAAACAGCAATTACAAATCATTGTCCCGATAATCATGTTCCTAATATATGTTCTCCCAGTGCATTGTGTCCAGGATGTGACAACACATATTACAAAATTCCAAAAGGAATTGAATACGGTTTCAAGAATAGATATAATAATATTTGGCCTTATGAACATTCTCGCGTTAAGTTGATCAAATCGCCAAACCCTTTGAAACTAGATGATTATGATGACTATTTTAATGCCAATTATATTAGTGTCCCTAATATATCAAACTTGAAATATATTGCAACGCAAAATCCATTACAAGCCACGTATGAAGACTTTTGGAAAACTATATGGTCTAATCGAATTAACATAATAATTTGCCTAAATGTGCAGTTACCAGCAAACTTGGTTGGTCAGGATAGGAAATATTTTGACGACCAGGAATTTAAAAGGTCTGGTATTAAAATTACGAACAATGAACTTATTGAGCAAGATTGCTTCAACGTCAGAAAATTAACTCTTGTTAAAGATGATAAAGCTAGACCTATTTACCATTTAGAATATAAAGATTGGCCTGATTTCGGTGTGCCTTCTTCATTTGATTCTGTTATAAAATTAATTGACTATAAGAAGAAAATAATCAAAACCGAAAATCTAAATGAACAAGCTTTAGTTCATTGTCTGGCAGGATGCGGTAGAACTGGGTGTTTTATCACATTGGATATGGCACTTGATTGTTTCAATAATTTCAAGAGCGATAATCTAGATCCGTGGAGTGACAATGATTTAATATATAAAGCTGTTCAATACCAAAGAACGCAAAGAATATCAATGGTACAGAATTTAGACCAGTTTATCTTTTGCTATGAATTCATTTTAAACTATGTTGTACGCAACCTTATTTGAGCTACAATGACCTCGGCTTAAACAAAGTTGTAAATACATAAGCTCCAATAAGCTCTATCACATACATGTATAGTATTGACGTTTAATTTAAATTTTCAGTAGCATATTACTACATCATCAGTGTTGCATTCGTATATCACGTGATTATTGTAACTATCTTTAATAGAAATATTCTGATACATCTAAAGAAAATATGAAGAGACGGGAAATGTCTAATAAGGATGATATAAATAGCGAGAAATTATCCTACTTGTTGGAGCTTCTAGGCAAGAAGAAGATCTCTACTATAAATTCGGACTATGAATCCGATTCCGATTTTGAGGATATTGGAAAACCTAATATATACCCTCATTTAAATATGATGTTAGCTACAACTCCAGTGATTACTGATGAATATCTTTCGGTAACTACAGAATCACAAATTCAGGTACAGCGGTCAATTAGTTCGATATATAGGGGCTTGATTCAAGCCAGTACAAATGAAGTTCACAACAGGCCTTTTTGCATTACAGAGCACAATAAGTATATTATGAAATCATTAACGGATCCTTTGCCATATTATTACAAATCTCTAGATGCAAATCATGGTTGGTTATTGTTTTGGTTGATTAACTCGTATAGCATTATTAATGGAAGAATTAAAGATGCTAAGATTCGTGACCTTGTATCCGACAAAATTTGTCGTAACATTATTAGTGGAGGCTTGGGTGGGATTGCTGGAGGTGCTAATCAAATTGGCCATGCTGCTGCAACTTATGCTTCTATTTTGGCGCTTGTTCTAGTTGAGGATTATGAACTATTGAATAAAATTAGACCTAATTTGTATAAATGGTTTTTAAGTTTGAAAATGCCAAACGGTTCTTTTATAATGCACCAAAATGGAGAAAGTGATACTAGATCAACATATTGTGTTCTAGTAGTTGCATCTTTGTTGAACATTTTAACTACAGATTTGTGTGAAGGTACTTTGCAGTGGTTAAATCTGTGTCAGACTTTCGAAGGTGGTTTTGCAGGCGTTCCAAATACTGAAGCACATGGTGGCTATACGTTTTGCGGAATGGCCAGTTATTTTTTATTATTAAATCCTATTAATGGAGATTTCCTACAACAGATCGACAACCAAATTGATGTTAATTTGTTAATAAGATGGTGTGTAATGAGACAATACCAATTGGAAGGCGGGCTATCAGGACGTACGAATAAATTGGTTGATGCATGCTACAGTTTTTGGATAGGCGCAATCTACCCTATGGTAGAATTGATAACCAACACTAAAACAATATTCGACAGAGATGCATTAAAGTGCTACATTTTGAACTGCTGTCAAAATATTGACACTGGTGGATTTAAAGATAAACCAGGAAAATCAGTTGACTTCTACCACACAAATTATACCATATGTGGTCTCAGTATAACTGAACATTATTTTCTGTTCTCCCCAATTGAAAAAGCAGAATCTGACGCATTTGCGTATCTGATCGATCATGAAAAGATCAATGAAGACGATTCTCATACAAATGGTATAAATCCAGTTTTTAGTTTACCTATTGGTATGGCAGAAAAATGCAAGAGATATTTCCAGAAAATGGACAAACATATATAAGCTTAGTCATATATTTAATGCATTGTAATATTATTAATTCCTTCCTTTCAAGCCATGGTAGATACAAAAAATTTATGCGAATTCTGTGGATCGAACACAGGACCTTCAGATTAACTGGACTGAAGTTGACTTCAGTCTGACGCTCTCCCAACTGAGCTAAATCCGCATACAACAACCCACGGCGGGAGTCGAACCCGCAATCTTTTGATTAGAAGTCAAACGCGTTAACCATTACGCTACGCAGGCAATAATTTAGAAGGTTGAAACTTGCAAGTATCTATTATTTAGGATAAAAATGTTTTCATGCATAGTATCACTTGTATTGTGCTTACTAGTTTTGAATATTAGTCCAATAGTAGAACAAATCACGAAACAACATTTATAGAATGACCCGTTTATCTAGTAGTTGGATCCGCCATTTGCTTGGACAGGGTACTTATCAGCCATTAGGTAATTCTGTGGACTCACCTGAAGCTAATAGTGATAGTTTACCTGGAAATTACACTGAGGAGCCAATACTTCAAAACAATAGAAATGCAATAAATTCAAACTCCATACAACATGTGTTCAAACATTTGGGTAATTGGATCAGTTTCCTAATAATAAAGCCTATCATAATTATATTGGTCCTTTCATTCAGGATATTGGCTAAGCTTATAAACATAATATACTTTCGAGACCAGTATACGAGGACAAATTCAGGCAATGCAGCTAACCTAGCTATAAACAAAACTGGATTGAATGATCCTATAGATAAAGTGAACAAGTTTATTCGTGATCTTGAGGATAATTTATCCCCTGTACAACAACAACATTTGGAAAGTGGTTTAAATCCTCAATTGCCACCATTCTTTCTTGGTAGCTATACACAAGCCTTGTATATGGCGACTAATAGGGCAAAATTCTTGTTTGTCTATCTATCTAATTCACAAAATGAAAATTCGTCTACCATATTCAATAAGGTAATCACAAATCCAGATTTTATTTCCGTTTTTAATTCTAATCCAAATATTTTAATTTGGGGTGGAGATTTAACTAATCCCGAAGCATATCAATTAGCCAATAGTTTAAATGTTACGAAATTCCCTTTTCTTGGGTTATTATGTCTCACAAGAACAACAACGATGTCACAACAAGGCCCCGTGAAAACAAGCCCTAAAATTTCTTTGATTCTGAAAATTCAGGGAGGACTTAACGAGGATGCAAACGTAAGCGCAACAGTAATTGACAAGTTTAAAAGGAAGATACGTAAATTTGATGAGGAATTGATAGTAATGAGAACAGAATTGAGAGACAAATATATGAGTCAAGTTTTGTTACGACAACAAGATATCAATTACCAAAACTCTTTGAAAAATGATCAATTGAAGAAGCAAGAAAAATTGTATAAACAGTTAAAAAGAGAGTATTTGAATTGGAAAAGTTTATACTTCAATAAAATAAAGCAAGAAAATGATCTTGAAGACAGTGCAAAAATTGCGATTAAGTTAACTAACGGTGAGAGAGTAACATTCCATTTCCCATCGCAAAATCTCATAGATGATATATTTATATTTGTCGAGTTACAAAATGGTGATTATCTAGATGGTAATATTAAGAGTTCTATAACTGACGAAGAAGCTTCTGAGAGATTTAAGGATTTTGAACTAAAATATGAGTTCAAGTTAGTATCACCATTACCTCCGAGAACAGTATTGAACAATTATTTGGATAAAGAGAATCATCCGAAGATAAGAGATATAAATTATATTTATCCAAATGGGTTATTAATAGTGGACGATCTATAATTACAATCTTTCTATATGTCTTTTATAGTTATTATATTTATTTCGTAATAATCGTAATGTACAAGATTTTAACTATTTAGAAACTTTACCCGATTTCTTGTTCTTCTTCTTATCTTTCTTCTTTAACCCAACAAAACCATTCTTAATCACTTGGACATAATCACCCCAAAATTGATCCAAATTACCTGTTTCAACAACAGTAGATAATTTGGTTTTCTGCTTTGATTGAGATGTATTTTTATTATTCCCTGGATTCATACAAATTCTAATAAGAACAGGATAAGTTCCTGTATTTTCTTCAAATGCATCAGTCTTGATTACATTGGATGATAAATCGTTTATCTTTGGTGTAGGTTCATCTATTGGTAATGTTGTTGTCAACCGTTTCTGTGTTACATAAACAGAGGATTCGCCATTATTTGATGCTAATACTTCTGACAACTGCGTTAAAAATTGTGAGTTATTAAGTCTTCCCATTCTTAATTTGTTATTCAAATCTAATAGCCTAATACTAGTTTCGTTGATAATTTTTTCTCGAGATTTTGAATGCTCGGAATTTTTAAAATAATTTGGTTGCGGATTTTTCCTTATCTCTACTCAATGTGAGTAAATAAAAAACCCCGAGTTCAATTGAGTTGTAAACTTGAGCATCCATCCTAATAATGGTACGAAAATGTCAAAATAATGAAGGTCATAATACACGTAGGTTGTGTTCATTATCAATCTCGATTTTAGTTTCATTAGCATCAGGAACACCTTATTTATACGGCACTTATGCTCCTCAGTTTATTAAGAGAGTTGGGTTAACAACGTCTGATTCTGCCACAATTTCTTTGGCGTCAACTATTGGTTGTGGACTAGGCGGTATTCCAGGAGGATTAATAATAGATAAATATGGCCCTCCAATAGCGATCGGTATGGGATCTGTTAGTATATTAGTCGGTTACTATGGTCTATACAAAATATACGAAGAGAAGGTATTTAATTTATGGTTGATTAGTGTTTCTATGGTTTTGATGAGCTTTGGCTCGATAATCAGTTACTTTTCCACTATGAAAGCTGTTCAAGCAAATTTTCCAGATCACAAAGGTATTGCAGGCTGTATACCAGTAAGTGTATTCGGTTTATCAGCTACCGTCTTTTCTGCCATCAGTGCAACTTTATTCAAACAAGATGTAGGTAACTTTCTTCACTTCTTAGCATTGTTTTGTGGATCAATTACTTTTTTTGGTTCGTGGTTCGTTAAGATATATGATAATGGTTGCCAAATAATAAATAATGTAAATCCAGAGCCTGATGAAGAAACCAGACTTCTAATAAAAAATACCAAAGACGCTTATCCGTACGAGTCCAATTACAGTAGCAAGAGTTTTAAACTGTTAACATCTACAAATAAATATTCCCTCGGAGAATTGCATTGTAATAACCTGATTATTCCTAATTCATCGATAAGTTGTATTGATGAACACAACCCTAGTTCTTCAACTACATCGTTTGTATCTAACTCGTTTACAGATATTCAAGGTCTGAATAAATCAATTCATCAAGAAACTTCCGGTCCAACAATATCACATAAGGATGTCTGGGTTTCAAGCGTACCTATCGTGTATTCCAAGAATCCCTTAATTTATATCAAGTACTTGCTAACTAATAAAGTATTCCTTTATCATTTTTTTATTGTATCGATAGCTAGTGGAATTGGACAGATGTATATTTATTCAATTGGTTTCATCGTCAAGGCTCAAATTAATTATAGACCAAGGAACTTAACTGTTTTGAATCCTATGGATAACATATCACCGTTTGCAAATTCGGGGCAAAATACCAGTGCAACACTTCAAGCTTTACAAGTGTCCTTGATTTCAATATCGTCTTTCTTTGGAAGAATAATCTCCGGCTTTTTATCCGATTTAATTTATAAGAAGTATCGTATCCAAAGACTATGGATTGTTGTAGGCACAATATTAATTTTTGCAATTTGTCAGTTCATTTTAGTTATAAATTCTAATAGAATGGGTTTGATTCACTTCACTTCTATATTAACAGGAGGCTGTTATGGTTTAATCTTTGGTAATTATCCAGCAATAATTGCTGATGAATTTGGAACTCAAGCATTTTCAACTACGTGGGGCTTGATTTGTACTGGTCCCATGATAACATTATATGCCTTAAACAAATACTTTGGAACTATATACGATAGAAATACAGATTCCGAAACTGGAATTTGTTATAGAGGAACGGAATGTTATAAAGGAGCTTTCAAACTTAGTTTTCTTCTATGTTTCGCCATTCTTGGTGTAACTTTATTCGTGATACATTTTCAACGTAGTAAGCACTAGTCAAAGAATACATCAATTTTATATATTTGAAACAAACTTTTGAATCAAATATCACTTACATGCTATTTTAGCTAAACGTTATCATGATACTACTTACTATAAACAAGATTATAAATATTATATATATATATGAGAAATCAAGCATTTACAATTTTAATCAACTGTGTTTAAACTTTCTAAGTCTATCTCATCAACAAGCTGCTTTTGGTAATCGATCTTACCTAATAACTTCTCAAAATACCCGGAGCTTAGTTCAGCATCCTTAATACACTTTTCCAATGTTTCCTTCTCGCCTAATCTTTTGTCAATACTAGTTTGAAAATTATTCATAACTTGTCTAGATGGATAATTAAGAACTTGTCTACATTCTTTTGATACTCTATCGGCATTGATATGAGGATAGTCCATATCAAAAATTTGCTTTTTTATCTTCCGAGCTTGTTTTCTTGGAAAAGCATTAGGAATATCATTTACTAGGTAATAAACAGTAAAACCAGTAATACCCAATAATATAGGTCCAGCAAATTTTTTCAAAAGCGAAGGTTTGATTAAATGGGATACAGAATATAATTTACGAATTAAAGCACCTGTTGTTAATAACTTCGTTGAAGAATATAATGTATGTAATGTTAGTTGCGTGGGTAATTGATTCTTCAATGACATAGCAGAAGGTAAATTGGATATTAAATTCGATGATTTGTAAAAACTTAATTGCAGTCTAGTGTTTGACACAAATTCTTTTGGTATTCCTAACCACATTAAGCAGGACTCCCAGGATGGATCAAAAAAATCACTAACTTCAATCAGATCATTTAAATTTTTCTTAATCGTATCACGTCTTCTAGTAAACATCAAATCGGGTTTGAAAACCTTATCATGCAAAAATTCATCCCCCAAAGTTGTCTTCCCGAATTTGATTATTTCCTCCACTTTTGTACTAGTAATATTCTTTGCTTGACTTTCACTATTACTAACTGCTGAAAGTATTGTTTCAATCATCACTCTCTGTGTTTCCATGGCATATTCATATATGTATTGTAATCCTTCGTATGGAACAACTTGATTGTCACCAAATTCATTGACGGTCGTCAAAATTTCGTTCTTCGTATAATTATAAATCTCTGTGCAAGTTCTTTCTACTAAGTTATTAATGGAATCATTAATTTTAACACTCAGCCGTAAAATTTCTTCATATTTAGGGGCAATCTGATTATTCAACTCAATTATCTTGTCTTTCTTTTCTTGAACATATATTCTTTCGTTTATTTTTGACAAGGACTGCAAATCATTTAGCAAATTTATTAAGTAACTTTTGGCTGGCAATAGCTTAGAGATTGCCCTTTTGTCCAATATAAACTTTCTCAATGAAGCTTCTAGATTATCAAAGTCTGGATTGTCTTTATTATTTTTGTTGTCGTCATCTCCATCCCCTCCATCTCCATCTCCACCATCTGGGAAATTATTCAATGCCTCTGAAGAACTGACAAAATGAACAAATTCTTTTGCATTCTTATAAGTATCGGGTGATAAACTTTTAATTTGCTCCAAAATTTTAGACATACACTTATTTTTATCATTAATATTATCAAACTTGTTAACCACAATAAAAACATATCTCTTCTCCGCTGCGGCTGCTGCAATAAATTCCTTCGCTGATAAAGTGAAATGGTTCTCTGAATTAACCACAAACACAACTAAATCAATCTCTTCTTGTCTTGAGAACACTTGGGTAGTTTGATACAGGTCCATATTCAAACCAGGAGCATCAATTAACTTAATATCAATAACACCATTATGTAACAAACTTTCGGTTAATGAACGATGGTCTAAAACATAAACCTTTAATAGTTTATATTTATCACATTCATAAACTAAATCTTCTAACTCGTTTAGAGCATGTAATTCATAAGATGATTCATCCCTAATGTTGTAATCACGTCCAATACAAACTGCATGAACTTCTTCAACCCCCTTATTTTCCTTTGTTGCATCAATTACTTCACAAAAAACTGAAGTACATGGTTGTTGATCTTCCGGTAAGATTTTCCTTCTCAATAAGGCATTACAAAATGTGGATTTACCAGCGTTTAAATCACCGGTAACAAAAACCTTCGATGAAGTATCGTCAACCCTATCCTTTAAATTGAGCAAATATTTAACTTGCTGGTGCAATTTTTGTTCTAGCAAGGTGGCAAGAGAAGTCTTGTCTAAATTTTTAACCAAATTATCATTGTTTTGATTATTATGACCCATTTTAACGTTTAATTTCAAAACTTTGAAGTCTGGTACTTTTTCATCTTCAAAATTAGTAGGTATTTTAGCCTTACTTAAAGTCTTTGCAGATGTAGTCAGATTATTTCTAACAAGAGCTAAATGTGCCCTAGGAGAATTCAATAATATACTTGAATCATCTTCAGTATCGGTGGGATAAAATATAGGACGTTCCTTATTTTCATTTGATAACTCATACAACAATTCAACAGTTTGATTTATCGTCCTATCTAAAGCAATCTTATTTTCATTATAATTAAGTTGTTGAATAGACGCATTTAATCCTTGTCTCTTTTTATTGTTGAATAGCGTACCTGAAGACAGCCCACCTTGCCCTTCAAATAATGTAGTCGAATCATTACCAAACGTTCCCTCATCAGGCATATACATTACAGTAGCGGGAACATCAGCATCTTGATTGTCATCAACTAGTGTGGAAACGTCATCCTTGACATCTTCCAAGTTCTTGAACCCTTTTTGACTCATTTCGTTCTACGAATTTATTTAGACGCTAGAGAAGTATTATATTTAGGGTGGCACTAGCGAAGTAAATATGTTTTTTTGATCATGTATCACGTGATTTTTAGGATTAGGATTTAGGATTGGGAAAAGCTGTCTGTAAAGTATATAGAACCAATTCAAGCTACAAAAATTGTAGCTTTTAGGCCAGCAGCTCCATAGGCATTTTTTTTCTGTGGGGACCTCATTTAACGCTATTTGAAAAGTTACTTATTATTTCCATCAAGACGTAGAAAAGTGCAGTCACACTTATCTCATCTTGTTCCCAGACAACAATATATGGCCAGGCTTCCTTAAATGATCATCATCCTATTGACAATGTCAGTTTTAGAAGATCTTAAACTTAAGAATGTCAAATGAGTCAATTCATGCTGATTAACTAACTGTAGACTTGGGGTTATAGAACCATTTTGAAGGTCATGTGACTGCATACTGAACATTTTAAAGATAACCGTTATCTAAGGATTGATGGACATAATTAATATAATAGAACTATAAAGATGCCTTTAAAGACATTTGATGTAACAAATATTGGGACTGTAATTGCAGAACCATTGACTCCAGAAGCATTTGCACCTTACGGTGGAGTCATTAGCGCAGATCATCAAGTCAAGAGTGTGACGAGTACCGCAGCGAATTATGGCACTGCAGTAAAGATTCACAAGGTTGCACCAATTGTTAACAATTTCAAAGACTGCCCAAGTGGAAAAAAAGCCACGGCAAATTGGAATATATTTAGGTGCTCTGTTCCCAAAAAATCAATTGTAACAGAAGCGAAAAATGAACTTGTTTACAAGGCCAAAGTGTTGGAAAGACATCCTTTCAGCACGCAAACATTTATTCCTATGGGCCTGGAGCTATCAAAAAATTCATATTTGGTTATTGTTGCAAAGAATGATAAGGGTACAGAGCCTACTAACCTTCCAGAACCCAGTGGTATTAAAGCTTTCGTTTGTAAAGGAAATCAATCCGTTACATATGGGCAGGGTATTTGGCATGCACCCATGGTTGTTATAGACGAAGATTCTCCTCATGTTGACTTTGCAGTATTCATTCATGAAAATGGCGTCGATAATGAAGATGTAGAAGAATGCTACTTTGAACCGGGTTTTAATATCAAATATTATAGAGAAAATACGAGATCAAGTGCTAAATTATAAATATATACAGTTTATTAGGATTATTTTATATGAAGTCAATAATATCTTTGATCACCTTATTTGCGTAAGCTTCTTTTTGATCATCATCCATATCATTATTACTAACATTTTGTTTCGCTTGTTGTACTTTCATTAACACATCATCTAGGTTTATTAGTTTAGATTGTGTTTCATCTATCCCATATTGTCCGACTTGTTCGTCTTGTCCATCTAATAGTCCTTTGGTCATACCACTCATTTTATTTCGCTTCTTTTCATCATAAGCACCTTGGCTACCTTTTTTTAAATCCATCTGACTCCATTCATGAGTTTCGATTATTTCAAGCAATCTATCCTGTCCAATCTTATCCCTAAATTCATCTTCCCCTTTTTCAAATAAGTTTACATACTCAAATCCAAAAGGAATTACTAAATCTTCTACATGTTCGTTTATTTTCCTTTCAGTTGAATCTCCTACCACCACACTAAATGATCCATCTCCCCTATCTTCGTTCAATTTATCTCGAAGGTCAGAAAATACACTCAAGCATTCTTCTATGTAGTTCAAAGAATCTTGATCAATACGAAAACAGAATATCAAACCATCTATTGCTTCTCTCAATTCTTGAAAATCATCAGATAAAAACTCATTAAGCCAAAGCTTCAATGCGTTGATCTTCTCTCCCTCTTCTTCCAACCCACATCCCGAATTACAGCGCTGCTGTGGATATTCATCTACAAGCAAATTTAGCTTCAGTGAATAATACTTGGTAGATAAGTCTGTTTTAAATATAAGCCCACTATGAGACTTTGAATCAACTGAGCTGAAATCCAAATTTCGAGACGATATAAGTTCACATATTCTTAGTTTCCCCGTATTAGGAGCTCCTAGTATTAGTACATGATTTGGTATCATTATAGTCTTGACATATGTTGCCCTATTTTCTGTACTTTTCAGTATGGATATGGAATATTAATTACATACAGGGCATATCAAAACGACCCCGAAAATCAACAATCAAGTCGAAAATCTTGAAATATTTTGATTCAAAACGTTTCAACAATAGCTATGGCTCCATCGTCAGTCAATGGTAATATGCAACTGCTGAATATACCTGAAGGTCAAACGAAAAGAAATTCCACGAATATTGATACTATCAATATTGAAAATTTATTACTTCGAGATGACGATATTTTCCAAACATCATTGAATTCAGAGGATTATCTAGAAAGTTTAGCACCTATAATCAAAGATGCATTGAAGGTTAATGGTTTATCTGATCTTATATATAAATTAAACGATATAGTGAAGGATAAAGATGATGAATTGAATGATTTGTCTTTAAGTTCTACACAAGATATTAACTCATGTATTGATTCCATTGATAATATTCATGTGGAATCGTATGATTTAAACCAAGGCCTACTGCAAATCAGTCAATTCCTAAATAGATCAGTGCATGAATTGATTACTAGAAAGAAGAATTTAATAAAAAGCAAAGAGGTCACAAGTAAGATTAATGAAACAAATGTGACACTTAATTTATGTATTCAAGTCCTAGAAATTACAAATAAGATTCATGAGTTGATAAAGCAAAATAATTACTTTAGCGCATTGAAATTAATTGATGAATTAACAAACATTCACTTACCGAAAGTTGAAAACTTTAGCTTTGCTGTTAAAATTTATGAATCTATCCCGCACCTAACCAAGATGATCAAAGACGAATCATTCGAAAATTTAGGCAAATGGCTTGCAATTAATTTAGAACGTAAATTAGTGGCAATTGGTGAAGCCCTTTTTGATAATTTATTTCTTTTACAACAGAACTGGGAAAAGATTAAAAAGAGTAAAGATTCATCGGCAACGTTTATGCCTTACAAATTAAACTCACCCGTTGAATTATCAATGCGTGACCCATCTTCAAATTATAACATATTTGATGATGAGGCTTTGCAAATTAGCTTGTCTAGTCTATTTGATGCTATATTAGTATATCAAACTTTAAATGAGGACGAACTATTATCAAAATTGTATCATAAAGAATGGATGAAGAAATATAACCGTGTCATTTATCCTATAACTTCATCCGTGAAATCACCAGCTGTACAAGGACATAATCCTAATGATAATGTAATAACAGAATTCAATAACTTACCAAGCTTGGACGAATATTTGAAAAAAATCAGTGCATTTTTTGTGATGGATAAACAAATAAACCTTGCGACTAAATTCCAATTACGTTCTCAAGCAAATTCTAACGACTTGTGGGATTCATATGCTATCAAATTAAAGCCTGTGTTAATCAATTACTTGAAAACTCACAAATTGGATGCAAATGATCTAACTGATTTTAAGGATCTTGTAGGTAATTTTTTACAGATCATGGAGAATAGTAGCTATAAAGTATTTGATCTTTATGAAATTTTAATAATTATTTTCCAAGATTATTTTGGTCCAGATTTGATACAACAATTCCGTTTAGATTTTATCGAATCAATCCAATCTGACCATTACATGCCATTAGTGGTTCAAGACAAGCGTGATTACGAAAATGTTATGAAGATTTGCTGGTATAAATCCGATGCACCTTTCGCACCACAAAATGTCCATTCGATGCCTATAAGTTTCCCATTTAGTGAAGATTATGTTCATTATTGCTTGGGTATACGATCATTATTGGAAGAAATAATACAGTTTATAAGCCAGCATTACAGTTATAACGTCAATGAAATAAATAACTTCATTGTGAATGATATCTTCGAAAAAGTATTAGGCAATGAAAAAGGAGTGGGTATAAATAATGACATACAAGAATTTATTGATAAAAATGCTAATAATAAAGAAGTTATGGCTCAAAGTTATACTAATTTAGAGTATTATTTATTTAGTCTTTACGAAATTGGGAAATTAATTAACCGTCGTTTAAGGTTAAATACAGGTACTGGTGTCCATAATATAGATGCTAATGGTACGTTTACATTAAAAGCGCTTGATTTGTTTACAAATGTGAGGAAATTTTCAGAAGATACGATTTTCCAAATGGTTGATAATAAAATCAGAGAATTGTTGGATATGGTTGAATACGATGATTGGTTGCCTGAAGTTGCAAATAAAGAAGCAAACTATTCGATTAAGGATTTTGCTCTTTTCTTAGAAAACTTATTTAAATCTATATTTTCAAATTTACCTCTGTCGTTCAGGACATTAGGGTTATTTAGAACTTATGATTTTGTGGCAGAACATTTCTTAAATATCTTAAAAAGTGTCGATAGATATAACCGAACAGCTATAGAAAATTTCGATTTGGACATCAGATACTTAGAGGAATCCATGAGTAATTTATATTCTACTCAAGATAGTTCGCCAGAAAATACTGAAGATGGTGGAGCGGTCGCGTTACAGTCGACTTTTACAGAATTGAGACAATGTATTGATTTATTAAAATTGGATAGTTATGAAGATTTCATTAAGAACCCTTCATTGAGAATGAGAAAATTCGATAGAGTTAAGTTAGAAGATGGTTTAAAACTTATTTCCAAAATGCAGCTGCCATTAGAAGAGGATGATGAAGATGCAAATATATCTGCCCATGAGGAAAGTATGAACACCTCAACAAACAGTATTGACCTGCAGAATCAATCTGTACTTTCCAATTCAGCTTCAACTAAGTTTGCTAAATTCAGTAGCAAATTTAGAAGAAAAAATGACTTTGATAATTACTAATTGTATAGTGTTCAATATAATCAGTAATAAAGTATATTTATGTATATATGCTGTATGATTATTTCCAAAATTTAAACATATTGGACCATTTCCTCGTAGATTCAAATTCGTTCTTCCTTTCATCTACTAATTGTTGAATTCTATCCTCCAAAACCTTAGTCTTTTCAATGAATTTTGCTTCTTTTTCACTAGATGATAAGCTTGTCCACACAATATGAAGAACAATATACGTTGTAGATGCAATTAAAAAGCAGTGAAATAATGGATTTTTAAACTGACTTAATGTAGGCTTCCGAGACTCGATAGAGTTTCCTTGAGGAAAATTTACATACGAATAGCTTCTCAGTATTCTATGAAGAAAGTTACTTCTGACTATATTTCTCCTTGTTCCCAGTATCACGACTTTCGATAACATATTAGCACTCTCTAATTAATTGTAGATAATGCTGATTATTATATTTTTGATTTTTTTAAGTATATGATAATATGCAGGATAAACCCATATACCAATTCAAATAAAGTTGGTGGCGTCAACATGGTGGTTGAGAGATCCAAGCTACAAGATATCACTTGAATAAAACAATTGCATACTATAACATCATTGAATAATGTTTAGAAATAATTACGATAACGATTCTGTTACATATTCTCCTACAGGTAGATTATTTCAAGTAGAATATGCTTTAGAGGCAATCAAACAAGGAAGTGCAGCAGTGGGACTTGTGTCGAAGAACCATGTTGTGTTAGCAGCTTTGAAGAGAAATGCTGAAGAATTGGGATCATATCAGAAGAAGATTATTAAGGTTGATGATCATATGGGAATTGCTTTAGCAGGTTTAGCACCTGATGGAAGAGTGTTGTCAAATTACTTGAGAAAACAAGCTATGAGTTCCAAAATGATTTTCAATAGACCTCTACTGACTTCTAAAGCAGTATTATCAATTGCTGATAAAGCACAGGAAAATACCCAATCTTATGGGTCTAGACCTTATGGAGTTGGTTTATTAGTATCTGGTTATGATGAAACAGGAGCTCATTTATACGAATTCCAACCATCGGGATCTGTGTTAGAATACTACGGTGCAGCAATTGGTGCAAGATCCCAGGCTGCTAGGACGTATTTGGAGAGAAATTTAGAGACTGTTCGTGAGACTGAATCTGTTGATGAATTGATTGTTCATGGTTTGAATGCTTTAAGAGATACCTTATCACAAGATGTTGAATTAACCTTCAAGAACACTTCTGTTAGCGTTGTAGGTAAAGATACAAATTTCACTATATATGATGATGCAGACGTTCAACAATATCTTGACAAGTTGGATTCGGTTTCCAACGCTAGGAATAGAGATGATGATGATGGTGATGAAGGCAATAATGAGACCCAAGGTGATACTAATGAAAATACCGGTAATGATGTTCCTTCTGAAGATAGAATGGAAACTGATGAGTAACCATAATGATATAGATATTCTTGTAAATTAGATAGTCTTCAAGTTTTTCTTTAAATACATAAAGTTCCATGATATATTAATTTGTAAGATGACTACATCATATTATATACAGAGTTACATAGAGCCTTTTTATTCGGGGTGAAGTTTTTTTCAGCTAGTTCTTTTGTTGCTTCTTTTGTTGCTCAGCTTGTTGCTTAACAGCTACTTTCTTAATGGCTTCGAGGCATATTTTTTGTATTTCACTAACTTCATCTCTTATTTCTTGTGGATGGTGCATCTCTCTATACTCTCTAACGTCGTCGATCTTAATTCTCAACTTTTTCACTCTTTCGTCGATAACTTTCTTTTCATCTTCCTCCATGAAATCACCGAATTGAATCAATGCATTCTCTGTATCAGAGCATATTATATCCGCTCTCGTGGCATTTTCAACTTGCTTCTTAGTTTCTTCGTCACTCTTAGAATGTCTATTGCTATCTAATATCATCTCATTTATTTCCTGTTCAGATAATCCAGTTTCCGCAGAAACTTGAATAGAGACTGTATTCTTTTTGTTATAATGCTCCAGATCTTCAGGATACGGAGTTTTGTCTGTAGCCGACACATTAATAATTCCATCAGCATCGATTTCAAACGAGACTGCAATTTGTGGAGTACCTTTAGGTCCGATCGGAATATTCGATAATTTGAAATTACCAATTAATTTGTTATCCTTCACCAAAGTTCTTTCACCTTGGTATACTCTGATTTCAACACCAGTCTGACCGTCAACCGCGGTAGAAAAAACTTGTTCTTTCTTTACTGGTACTGCTGAATTTCTTGCAATCAAAGGGCTGAAAATTCCACCATACGTTTCAATACCTAATGACAACGGAGTAACATCTAATAAAACAACATTTTTAATTTGACCCGATAATACAGCTCCTTGGATTGCTGCTCCTAAAGCTACAGCTTCATCAGGATTAACGGAAGTACTTGGTTTTTTATTAAAAAGGGATTCAACTGTTTTCCTGATTTTTGGCATTCTAGTCATTCCTCCAACTAAAATAATTTCATCAATATCTTTAATCTTTAAATCTGCATCTCTAATACACCTCTTCACTGGGTCAATAGTCTTGTTAATTAAATGTAACGACATTTCATCTAATTCGTCTTCCGTTAATTTCATTTTGATGTGCTTATCCGAGGTAATGAATGGAATATTAATTTCCGTCTCCTTTACATGGGAAAGCTCAATTTTGCACTTTTCCGCTGCTTCACGAATTCTTTGGACTGCTATGATATCATTCAGTATATCCAATCCATTATTTTCTTTTTTGAATGTATCTAATATATGATGCAATAGCAAAATGTCAAAATCCTCTCCCCCTAAATGAGTATTCCCATTGGTTGCTCTCACCTCAAATACACCATCTTCAATATCTAATATTGAAATGTCAAATGTACCTCCACCTAAATCAAATACAGCTATAATACCATCCTTTTGTTTTTGATCGATACCGTATGCTAATGCTGCAGCTGTTGGTTCGTTAATTACTCTCAAAATATCTAAACCAACAATCTTCCCTGCGCTTTTGGTTGCTTGTCTTTGGGAATCATTGAAATAAGCAGGAACTGTGACAACTGCATGTTTTATTGATTTCTTATCATCGTGAAAATGTGATTCCGCAACTTCCTTCATTTTTTGAAGGATATATCCACTGATTTGTGAAGGCGATATTTTTCTACCGCTAGATGTGGCCACCCACGCATCCCCATTTTCATGAGGTACAATCTTATAGGGGGTATTTGCAAGGTCCCTTTGAACTTCTTCGTCTTCAAATTTTCTTCCAATTAATCTCTTCGTGGCAAAGAACGTATTTTGGGAATTAATAGCACCCTGTCTTCTAGCCGGTAATCCAACTAACGTATTGGCATCTGTAAAAGCAACAATTGATGGTGTTGTTCTACCACCTTCTTCATTTTCTAGTATCCTTGCTTCATTCCCTTCTACGATTGCAACTGCAGAATTCGTAGTTCCTAGATCAATACCAATAACTGAATGTTGGAAACGCTTCAACATTGAGTTCCTTTGTGTTGGGAACAATAATCTTGATTTTCTTAAAACTGATCTTCCTAGCATTTTCCATATATACTCTAATTATTGATAAATACAATAAAGTGTTGCTCTACGGATTCAACACTAAAGAATATAAAATGATGGAGGCATCCTCATAAATACATGTATTATATGCAGTTCTATACTATGATTAAAAATGTGGATAATGATAAGATTATTAGTCAATTTGAATAAATCCTGGCGCATGTAAGTCACTGAATGAACTAAAGAGTAATAAGCCAAGAACATCGATTCCACAAACATCTATGAAAAGTTTTGCAACAGAATCTGTTTTATGTACAATATTTCTTGAAATCTTTCGTAATGAAGAAGTAGAATAAGTCTCTATATAGCCTTGGCTCGTGTAAACTTTACAATATGTGGCCATAGAAGTAGTTGAATTAATAATATCGAGCACAATTCCAAGCGAATGGAATTTAGTATGGCCAACAAGCATACCTCGTTTATAAGTTTCCCCTTTTATAACATGGGCAATATTTTCCACACCCAAACTGGGATGCATTCTTTGGAAAGCGATTCTTGAATTAGCTGGATCCATTAAATTGAAGTTATTTTGAAATATTCTAGACTTATCGTCAAGATTTAATTTGAAATATTCGACCAACATTTTCTTTTTTAATGGATCCAGCTCTATGACCTCTATCACAGAGTTGAAATATATGAAATTATTTTCTTGGTTGAAATACTTTTCAAACTCTGAACAACACATAAATTTAGAAAATCCACCTTCCTTATATTCCATTTGTAAGAAGTTGCAAACAAACTTGGCAAATTGATATTCTCTATACTTATACCCTACACAAGACCTCATTTCCTCCCCGTTCTTTTCCGGTTTATCAAGTACAGAGCTCAATTCTGGTTGGCTGATGGAATAGGACGGTTTTACACCACATCTTGTATCTAAATTCATGAAATATGCTAACATATCATGTAATGATAGCGGTTTTAGATAATGAGAGATTTGTGCAAGGGTTGATAAATTGAATTCTTCTCGTAAGTATTGAATTACTTGTTTCGACGTGTAGTGATCAACTACGTACGAATTATTAGCATCCCTTGGTATAAGAAAATAATGATTTTTAATCATGAGAAAGGTGTTACTAATATTGATGGATATATTTTCACTAGAATTCTGAATGCCAATTTTGAAATTATACTTCGATAATAAGAATTCGTCAAGTATTTTCATGAGAATAGAGTAAAGTAGGATATGATGTCCCTTAAAATCTTCATTATAAATTCTCAAGATACTGAAATCTTCTAAGCAATACGTCTCCATGTATTCAAAATATTCCTGGGATGAGTAAAATTTACATTTACGGCCAAATTTAGATAAAATTAATCTAAGCATATACCACATTAGCTTTCCAAATGTCTTGTTGTCCAGAAAAATAATTGTCCCTTTTGCTGATTCGTCATTCTGAACAAAATTTACTTTATTCCCCCATGACCTATGCTGTAAGATTTCTAAATAAACCTCTTTGTATAATAATGTATAAATCTCTGTCAATTTCAGCAGCCGGGAAAAAATCATATCCGAAAAGGCTTTATCAAAGCTATTCATTTTGTACCAAAACCATTCAAACGCTCCAAGAGACGAAGAAGATTTTCTTATATCTCCCTTAATCAAATTATTAAAATATCTTATGCCAAGCTTAAAATTATAAGTATTCAACAAATTACAGGCAAGAGACCTTCTTGTGATATCGAATACCAAATCATTATAATAACGTTTTCTTTGATTGTTTTCATAATTCTTGATTATAGGAATATAATCCATGTCAACGAAATTGTCTAAAAAGAAGGAAATATTGTAAACTTGTTCTCTGGGTCTGTATTTTTCCATATAAAGTCTGAATTTTATATCCTTGTGGTAGAACATCATGGTTTTCTCAAAATATCGTATATCTGAAGAATAGACTATTGTTCTCTCATATATATCCAGGTTTGAGTCTTCATGAATATTATACTGGGTAATAAGATCAAAATAATACCAACGAAAAATATCATACCAGATAATATTATCATGCAATGCATTGTAAAGATGTCTATTTACCTCAGATAAGCTCAAAATGTCTGTGAGAGCTAAGATTTGTAAATCCCTTACTCCTATCTTTATAATATTGTGCCATATATCAACTGGTAATTTATCAATTTTCATTATATTTCATATTTAACTTATTGCCTATTAAAATGTCTCTGTATTCATTAAATTCCAATGTTGATACAAAGATTCGACTGAGATTTGATGCTTTCGCAAAAAAAAAATTAATCTCTATTTTATGAAGCTTGGAAATTACAAGCATATAGAACATGGGCAAAAGGAAGGCAAACAATTCAAAAGGTGGGAATAAGAATAAGAAATTCAGAACTAGCGGTTTTATTGATCCAAGCACTAGTGGAATATATGCTACATGTAATAGAGGTAAAGAACAGCAATGCCGAAAGGAATTACTAAATTTATTTTCAGATAAAGCTGAAGAGTATTTTAATTTGGATGAACTAAACGAAGATTCTGAAACTGAACAAAATGAGAAAGACCTTTCAATAGAGGAAAAGATTCAAAAAGAATTGAATGATATGCAAGAAACCAAAGGGACTAAGAAAGAAATCCTTAAATCCATTGATCTAGGTTGCGAATGCCTTGTCTTCATTAAGACCAGGAGACCGATTGAACCTGCAACATTTGTTGAAAAGCTATGTGAAGAATTTTCTCAGTCCAAGGTTAAGACAACGAGATATACTCAAAAATTGTCACCAATAACTTTTTCGGTTACACCAACAATGGAGGAGATTAAAAAATTGGCACAAAGAGTGTTGGGTCCACATTTTCACAAAGAAACTAATCAGAAGCCGTATAAATTTGCGATCCAGGTTTCAAAGCGTAACTTCAATACTTTACAAAAGCCTGACATTATCAAAGCTATTGCTGAATGTGTAGGCAGGGATCATGGGCATTCAGTAGATTTGAAGAACTATGATAAATTAATAATGGTGGAATGTTATAAAAGCAATATTGGTATGAGTGTGGTAAATAATTATGATAGATTAGAAAGATTTAACTTGCAACAAATATTCGAAAAATCCGTTGATAATGAATCGAAAGACGACGTTGAAGAATCAGAAGCTACCCAGACTTCCGATAACCCAATTAATCTCAGCAAGAAAAAAGAAGCCGAACAAGATGAGGAATTGAAAAGAGATTGAAATACGTCCCTACTGAAATAGAAATTAACATATATTCTGCAAATAGATAAATATACACCCAATTTAAATAAGATAAACCCTTTCCTTGTATTGGATTGCCTCTTTCCACGCCAACCAATCGCCTTCACTATTAGGGATTAAACCCATATTGTACAATTTCCATATACCAACTGCCATACATGCCAATTGACATATCACAAAAACTGCTCTTGTCAATAATATATCACTGGCATTCTTTTTTGTTTCCAAATTCTTGAAATTTGCGTTTGTTTCAGTGAATATAGCTTTCAAAGGATTCCAGAATAACATCAATGTCATCATAATAGGAATAATCTGTAAAGAGTTTCCAGTCATATAACTCATGATCAAATTCATAGGTATGGTCTTAGCAGGACCCAACGCTATTTCCCATGCCTTCTTTACTTTCAATTCTTCCAATCGTTCAAGGTCTGGTTTCTTGTTTGTGGGGACTGTAGAATTTGGCTTATTACGTTGCAGCGTAAATGAATCAGTATTAAAGCCTGCGGGCAGTGTAATTCCCCCTTTCCCCAAAACCTTGGCTTCTTTTACTATAGTAGGGTTTAAAAGTTCCCCGTATGATTCTAATCTCGAAGTCATACTCTTAGTTTCGATGTATATTGGATTAAGAGCAGAATACTGTAATACTTCTATGCTGAGTGAGTGAGTATTTATATACAGGATATTGTCAACCTAACAGTACTACTCCCTTAGTTCGTACATATGAACAATCCGTAGAAAACAACCTAATCATAGATCCAACTTTAATAAATTGCTAAATAAACATACATAGAAGATGAATTCGACTACATCATCCAAAGATAATCCGTTGAACAAAATCATCGGTTTATCAGTTGTTTTATCTATGGGATTCCTTTTAGTCGTTTTAGCAGGAATATATGGCAATTGGTTCCCCATTATCAATGGTATAATATTCGCCATTGCGCATTTACCCGTTGCTATAACGAAAGCTATAGCTGATTCTAGTGATTATGATTTCAGCTTTGATCCTGTGTCGTCCTCTCGAGGAAGCATTTTAAAAGAATTTGGTCAATTTACATCTGCATTTTTAGTAGTTACAGGGTTCTATCTACCTGTATTATTACACCATTCTCATATATTAACAAGAGTTGCTATGATATTGACAATAATAGGTGGAAGTTTAATTTATGGTACTGTTTTCAAGTTTAGTCTGTATTTTGACGAAAGTGAGGACCATGAAACTGAAGATTTTGGAGGTGTTATCTAATTTTCCAATAACCCGGGTGGATACGAGCACCTTTGACACTGTATATTTGGGTAGCCATAGCTTTTTATCGTCATATATAATGTATATTGTAAATTTTAATTAAGTATACTCAAATTTACGGTTCCTTATTTCCATTCGTTGTTGTGCGTAAATTCTAACACGAGCCTTAATCAATCACAAGTTGAATTTTTAGAATACTGATAAAGATAGTATTCAAGAATTATATTAATCAAACATGACTGTCAATACAAGTGCTGATTTTGCATCAGCAGAACTTGAAGTAGTTCAAGAACAACAGCTGAAAGAAAAGATTGTAAACGAAGAATTTAAAATTTGGAAAAAAACAGTACCATTGTTGTACGATACTATCCATACACATGCCTTAGATTTTCCTTCGTTATCGTTACAATGGTTACCTGACTATACAGTTTCCGAAAATAAAAACTATGTGACTGTTAAGTTTCTATTTGGTACCAATACCTCGCAACATTCTCAAGATTACTTGAAGTTGGGATCTTTAAGCTTACCAAGTACTCTTGCGCCAGATTTCTCTGTGTTTTCACCTAATTCGCAAAGTATACCGATTCCAATGTCAAATATTGATTCCTCGGATAATTTTAGAATTTTATCTAGCTGGAAACATAATGGGGAAATTAATAAGTTAAGGATTTCTCCAAATAATGAGAAAGTGATAACATTCGATAATGAAGGAGTTGTTCATTTATATGACTTAAAATCGAACAATAAAGAGGCCGTTGATTTCAAGTACCATAAATTAGAGGGTTATGCTTTGGAATGGATTGACGAAAACCAATTCTTGTCTGGAGCTAATGACTCCCAAATTGCATTATGGGATGTATCAAAGCCATCTACACCAATCCAACGATTCAAATCTCATAATGCTGTCATTAATGACTTATCTCATAATATTCAGGAGAAATCCTTGTTTGGTTCTGTGGCGGATGATTATACTTATCAAATCCATGACTTACGGGCATCATTTCAAGATAATCCTGCTATTAGAATAGAAACCAGTCATATCCAAAATTCGATTGCTTTTAATCCTGAAATTCCAACGTTATTTGCAACGGGTGGTAAAGAAAATGTTGTTTCCTTATATGATTTAAGGAATCCATCAGAACCATTACGCAAATTGTTTGGACATAATGATAGTGTAATCGGTATTGAGTGGAATAAAAATAACGATCCAAATAAATTAATTTCATGGGGCTTAGATAAAAGAGCAATTTCTTGGGATTTATCTTATTTGTCTGATGAGTTTACTTATCCAACTAGTGAACCTACAGAAGGTTCCAAAAAAAGATCCACGAAGAACGTGGATCCATGTTTAGCTTTTATCCATGGAGGTCACACAAATAGGATCAATGAGGTTGATATTCACCCTAAGATTAATGGATTGACAGCAACTTGCGGAGATGATAACTTGATAGAGATCTGGAAGAGTAAAACCATTCAATTAGAAAACGAAGAGGATGAAGATGAAGATGAAGAAGAAGAAGGAGAAGGCGCTGAACAAGCACCTAGTCCAGTTGAAAATAACAATGAAAGATCAAAAACAGGTACCCCTAATAATCTAGAGAATGAGGACACTGAAATGAAAGATTAAATACATAGTTTATAATTCTTCATAATGTTTTCCTGTATATTGTAATGTATTTGTATATTTTATTTATTCATGAGTACAAGAAATGTCAACTTCACTTCATGAACATATAAAACTGGCACCAGAAGACAATAAAACGAAATTGAAGGATCTATCAGCATCGACTTCAACCTTGGATAACGGTTCATCTGGAAATATGGAAAATGAGCAAGGCAAAAAAAGACGATCTGCATCACCAGCAATTTCGAATAAAGACCTTAAGAAAAGCAAATTTGAAAAAGAAGATTCACTAGATGTCTATGGCGGTTCATCATCTGGACTTTCTAATAGATATCCAACAGAAGAAATAGAAGACGAGTCATACGAAGAAATAGCCAAACAATATAAGAAATTTTCTAATGCACCCAAGTTTAATCTCAATAGTGAAGAATTATTCTGTACCTGTCGAAAGCCAGATTATGGAGGAGAGTTAATGATTTCATGCGATGGTTGTGATGAATGGTTTCATTTTAAGTGTATGAAGTTGAAGGAAGATCATTCCAAGTTAATAGCCAAATTCTATTGCAAGTTTTGTCGCTGGAAAGGAATCAGCAGTACAAAATGGAAAAGAAAATGCCGTTTAGATTGGTGCTGGGAACCTATTAGAGCTGATTCTAAATCAAAATATTGTTGCGATGAACATGGGGTAACTTTTATTAAAGAAAATTTGTTAAGAAAAACTGGAATTAATGATTTGAACCCAACAGATATTAAATCTATATTTAATTATTGTATCTCGTCAGGTAATAGCTATCAAAATCTAGTTCAATTAGGTTCAAATTTCCCCGAATTACCAGAAATTTCTTCACTCAAAGAGGAGGGATCTGACATTTCCGAGTTGCCAGAAGATCTTAAAAATAGCTTGACTAAGATAAGTTCAAATCTCGATAGAATTAATTCAATTATTAATTTGTGCAAGCTGAAGAGTGATTACTTACTCAAGATTAAGGAAAAAATTAAAATTATTAATGAAAGGTTACAGACATCTTATCAAGATGTAGAACAAGTTGAAAAATCTGAAGAATCGCTTAAAAGTAAAAGATCGACGAAAGAATCTAAAAGTAAGAAGCTTAAGAAATTTGACCTTTGTTGCTACGACAGATCTCTAAATCAAGGAATTCAAACGGATATACAGTCGAAAAATGCCATTGAAAAGTTCATTAATTCCACTGATATATACAATGATTATAAAGAACAAATTGATAGTCTAATAAGTTTTTATCGTGACAATATGGATGATATCGATTCAAATTCATGGTTTAATAACTCTATATGTATACAGGATAAACGAAAGTGTCCAAGGCATAATGGTTGGTGGAATTTACTAAATGATGAAGTTGTTAAAAGGTTCAATGAATTATCTGTTACTGCAAAAAAATTGGAGGATGAGAAATTAATGATTCTAAGAAATTATAGCATTAAGATATATGAACTGCGAACTTAATACTTCATACGTTTTTAACCATGTTAGTTTATAAGTTTCGATATAATAGAATAATTTCGTAATAAAGAATTGTGACACTATTGAATAGCATAATCATACTGCGAATACATTGCTAGTCCTTTTTTACCCAACGAAAGTCTAAAATACTTTGAATATTTATTCTATAGTTCACAGCGTTTAATATATGAATTAAGTATTAAATTAAGTTTAGTTGTTATTTTAGTGATATCAATGCAGATCAACAATTATTTGAGCTTTTTATAATTTTGTCCTCATATTTACAAAAATTAATACAAATTACAATATTCAATTAAAAATTATAAAATTAAATAGTATATAAAATTTAGGAGCATAGAGAATATAGAGATATTCTATAATATAATATAAACCACTAAATATATCTTTTGTTTTTCAAATTTCACAATCAATTATCAAAATAAATTATTTGGCTCTAAATACCATCATTACATCATCTAGTTTCCTTTCAATCCATTGATGGTTGCTACAATTCTTCTCGACGGTTTATTGTCTCTGAATTCAGCAAGGTAAATCCCTTGCCACGTTCCGAATGCTAATTTACCATTACTTATTGGAACTGTAACATTTAAGCCAGTAATCGTCGCCTGTCCATGAGATTTCGCATCATTAAGTCCCTCTAATATATGGATATATTCTGCATCGTCCGGAACAATTCTATCAAAAATATTAATCAAATCAGTTCTCACGTCAGGATCATAATTCTCGTTTATTGTCAAACCAGCACTTGTGTGTTGGATGAACAAATTCAATTGGCCTATTTTATAGTCCCTTATTTCAGGAACGTTACTGAGAATTTCCTCCGTAATTAAATGGAATCCCTTCGTTTTAGGTTTTAATGCAAATTTAGCTTGATCCCAAGATGTGGTCATTTTTATTGTTCAATTACTCTACCAAACTGTTCTTCTGGATATCTTGAAATATTTATATTAATGTACTGCATATAGAAAATATCATGGCGAATGGGCAGCAATTGATAAAGTCGACTAGATTACACTAGGAGTCTAGTTGCAAATACCTACATATGGCAAAATGTTTAAGATCCCTTCTCCTCCACTAGCTATACTTTTTTCCATTAAATAATTACAGTTGGGGAATAGTTAATTAGATAAGTCAATTTATGAACCAAATCGTAGGGATTATTATGATACCAAGCCATATGGTTTTAGATTTACGAATAAGGCATTGACGTAATATTGGAGCTGTCCCTTTAGTATATTACTCACTCGTGTTGGGAGAGATGGAAAATAGAAATAATAAAATGGTTTATACACTACACCACAACATTTTACACAGAAGTAAAAGTAAACAAGGTTGATACATGATAAAGAAGATGTATACCAATGACGAACAAATCGAAGAAACGGCATCATGATAAATATAGGGACCCCTTTGAACTACACAGACTTCAATCCGAGGCTAATATCAAAAAAATGAAAATGGAGAAGCGGTTAAATGTTTTCAATGGAAGTGCAATAAAGTCGGGTACAACTCAGGTCACACTGAAGCTGGCGGAAGCATACAGCAAAAGACTTGTTCTTAGTGATAAAACCAATACAAATTGTCTCAATCAGAATGTTAAATATAGAAATGAAAAATTGATGGATAAACCGAAGGTTACAATTTCGGGCATGAGAGACTCAATTATTGCAATGCATCGAAAACCTAACACTCAAAACCTAAGCATCCAGAAGGCCTCTATAAACAAATCTAATAAAATTTCTATATTTTCTTTGTCTTCAATTATAAAGAGTACAAAATTTACAACCCATATGAAGAATGGTTGCAATAATCGTCTACTTGAAATTTCAAGAGATATCATTATGTATACCCCATTTGAAAGCATTAATATAAACAAAGATAGAATACTGTCGCAAGCACGTTTATATGTGAAGAGCTTTATTGAATGGTTTAAAATAAGCAAATTTGACTACATACTTGTTGCTAAGAATTTGGAGGCTTTGAAAACAAATTCTGAAACTGAAAACCTTCGTGCCAGCATATCAATGGAGAAAAGTTCAGTGCTAACTAGGAAGAAGGGGGGAATGGTTGGACAAATATCAAAACAAAGGTATATTCGACATGATCAACGTCAAAAAATTGCCAATCCTAATCCAACTCACATAGTACAAAAATACAAAAAAGTCGGCAAATTTATGGCCACAGTGACTGTGAAAGATATTTGCACTAACAAATATTCTATTGTTTTATTGCTACGAACAGATATTAGGTTTAAAGTAAATACAAACGATATGTTGGTCCTAATGGATAAATCGCGTACTACGCAGTTCATAGATAATAAAGAAATTCCAGTTTATATCAATTGGCAAATTTATAAAGAGAAGCCAATAGATATAGATTTCTTTAACTAATAACACAAATTATAACGTACGACCGAGAATATAGTATTCAAAACTAAAACGCTAATTTTTATAAAAAGAATTGAATGTCTTCAAGGAAAAAAAAGATTATTACAAAATATAACCAAATAATATAAAATATAAAAAATATATAA